TTTGCTTGGGGCAAGACGAATTACGGAGGCCCACCACCAGTTAACGACCACTTGAGCGAGAATTGAGGGTAAGGGGTAGAAGGATATGGGATGTACCTCTCGCCTTACAGTGTTGGTTATCATTTCACTCTCTTCATTTCTTTCTCGGCTAGCTAGAGCTCAGTGAGGTCTTCAATTTACCATGTTTAGTTTTACGCTTCACTTGGTTTAACATCAGTGGCCAGTGCTCGCATCACTTTGCGTATAAAACGAAGGCAGCACAGGGAGCTGGTCGATGGCATGCGGGTGCAGAGAGCTTTGAGTCGAATTGGCTTCTGCGACTTTCCTCTAATATCCACGATTCCCACTCGAATTTCTGATGCTTTGTGTCAATTTTGAGAACGTATTCGAACACTATCATGCGTTATCTCACTACCTACCTACAATAGCCCGTTTAAGCTAACCCTGCTGCAGCTAAAATGAGTATCATCGATGCATGTCTATCTCCCTGCTAAGAGATGTGTCGTAGCGTTATCTATAGGTGGAGCTTGGATATTATGAACGAACCCCGGCTTGACCGGTTATCTTCACAAGGTCTAAGTTCCAAGAGATGTTATCAGGATCCTGCTGGGCTCTCCACCCATAGTCCACCTACTAAGTTGGCTGGTTGGTTAGTACTTGATTGTGCTGGAGCCTAGAGCCTAATCTGGATGCCATGAACGAGTAAGCGGAGAAGCTGAACCGTTGATTCGTAGATAAGCCCCCTTATTCACACACTGTTACCCCGCATGACACGGGCAGGCCTCGCATATTTACGATCTCCCGTAGCAGTGAGGATCCATTCCATTTTACCCCACGATTCATAACCGCCTAAATATCAAAGCCCCATTCCTCCTTTTCATCCTCCAACCTCCGCCTCTTTCTAATTCACAACGCGTCAGTCGACCAGCTATGTCAACAGGATCTACAATTGCTTTGAAGCCACCTCGTAGACGACCAGTCCACAAGTCATCTACAGGCTGCAAACGGTGCAGGCTCAGAAAGGTATGGCTTCTACATGATCTCTCCATCGTGGAATCTAAGAGGCCAGGAGAACCACTTGTTCATTAGTGTTTGTTGCCGCAGATAAAATGCGACGAGAGACGACCATCGTGTACCCAGTGTGACGACAAGCGGTTTGAATGTCCGGGATATCCTTCTCGACCTCTGCTTCGTTGGTCCACGAAGCATGAGGTCTTTGACCCGCAAAAAGCGAATGCTAGCATCGCCGAATCTACGAATCTTGCGCGTAAAGAACGCGATACCCAGCAATCTGAAAATGCCTGCCTAATTCCGGAAAAACAGCATGATACTGATAAAAGCGGCGGCTGCGAAATACAATACGGCGACTCGGTGGACCCTGTTGTATCCAACCTCGAGTATGATATTGGTCTAAACCAGCAGATTTTCCCGACCGACGATGTGATCTCAAGTACTCTTCACACTTCACCGCCCAATGTTGATGGGGGCGCTTTCATGGATGTTTGGGGCTCAGAAATACACGCAACCGCCATGGAACACAGAGATGCAGAGGTACCTTCTGGCGAAGATGAAGAAGTCCTGTCTGATTGTTCCTTGAGTCCTATTTCCAGCCTTGATTCTCCGGATAACCCCCTGCCTGAAACAGAGCTTAGCCAAGCACAGATTATCAACTTCATGCTGGGGACACCAAGAGAAGACTCCGACGAAAATACACCAAAGCCAACGTCTCCAGTCCTTGACAACATTCCATCCCCACTCATAGCGAACGAGGCACAGCCTTTGCATACGCCTTCTCCTTCAATCTGCCATGAGCCATCGGGTGCCCAGATTGAGTTGGTGCCGTTCTATTTCAACGTTGTTTGCCATATTCTCTCCACATTCGACTCTGAACAGAACGTGTTCCGCACATTCGTCAACAAAAAGTGGCAGGATTCCTCCATCATGTTTTATACCATACAGAGCCTGGCGGCGGCTAAGTTGGTGTGGTTTATGCCCGAGATGAAGACTCGATCGCTAGAATTCCGCTCACTTGCACTCAATGATCTTCAGGAGAGAGTTTCTGCCGCACAGTACTGGGACACGGAGCTCTTATTCATTGTCCTCTTACTAGGCGTGAGCTCATCCTGGTTCGACATAGGAGACCTGGGCATACCGCATCTAGAGGCGGTTCAACACGCGGTATTGAATGGGAAGGTGCAGTTCTCTAATGATTTCGATGCCATCGGCTTTTTTCGAAACGCCCTCATCTACTGGGAGATGGTCTCATGCGCTGTGAGCAATAAGGTTGCTTATCATGAATATGAAAAGATGGGACCCAAGGAGACTGAGGAACCTGGACCAGTGCCTCTGGCTCCCAAACATCAAGCTCAACGAAGCCCATCACGCATGGTACCACACCCGTGGACGGGTGTTGCTTCGGAACCGCAAGCGATCTTTACTCGTATATCAAGACAGATACACGCGCTGCGATCTTCTACATCGGCGTCACCGATGGGAGGACAAAACCTTGATAAACCAGGCGACTTTTTGGAGGCTGTAAGGCAGCTAGATCAGTCGATATGGGCTTACGAACTGCCTAAGTTACACTCTATCAGCAATATCGGAGACCCGAATACCCCAGCCATCCATCATCTGTTACTTGCTGAGGCTTACATGTATGCCAACATTTACCAACTCTACCGGATATTTCCCAACGTACGAAGGAAGCGGGTCAAGTGGATGAGAGAGCTCATAGCTAAGCAAGCGCCATACGACCAAACACCTTGGGCTGCCTCTCAAGTCCGCTCATGGACGGTCATGCTAGAGCAGGAGGACGGTACAGAGAAATGGCTGAGGTTTCTGGGCCGTAATGTGATCATTCGCCTGGAGCAGATCCAGACCAATTCTGGGACCTCGTGTGTGCAAGCTCTACTCCTGCTAGTGGCAGCTACATCACTCTCTCTGGGCTCAGGAGAGACGGAGGAGGAGGCGGGCACCGGTGGTCTTGGGGAGCAGCAACAAGAATACTTCTTGGAAGACAAGGACGATATTCTTCGAGCCCGGCAGTTTGTGCTGGATCGTCTTGAGTTTCTGTCGATGACGAATTTGTCTGCCCCTATTCAGTATGTCCGCAATATTGTGCTGGAGATATTTAAACGCTTGGATGTTGGGGCGGATATATTTTGGATGGACGTGCTTCATTCCATGGGTCTTGTAACTATAATTGGGTGAGATGTATTCGTATATGTTGAGAAATATTAAATAGTTCGATGCCCAATTTGAGAGAGGCCTATCGATTATATGGTAAAGGAGACTATTCAAGGAAGTGTGTAACCGCCATCTACTACAATCTCAGCACCAGTGACAAAGGAACTTGCACTGCTAGCCAGATATAGATAAGCAGCCTTCAGTTCCCGGACATCTCCTATCAAAATAAAGTAATGTCAGCAACATGTAGAACTAAAGGCAGCTTGGGAGTTAGAATACCTAGTCTTCCTAATGGCGCCATGCGACGGGCTTCATTGAGAGATGCACGATCCTCACTCATGGCTGTGTCAATCCAGCCAGGAGACACCATATTGACTCTCGCAAAACCACGCCACTCACGAGCTATACTCTTGCCAAAGTGCAAAGCTGCAGCTTTGGAAGTATTGTAAGCCACATGGTCAACAGGAACGGTGACGACACTTGCGCAAATACTGGTAGTGATAATGAAGTTTCCGAATCCTTGCTGTTTGAAAAACGGACCGATAGCCTTTGCGCAGTATACGACGCCGTGAACGTTGACATTCATCTCGGCATGGTAGTCTTCAAGTGATGATTCAAGAATCGGGTTTGGATTGCAGACGCCGGCGTTGGCTACAAAGACATCGACTCTGCCAAAATCCGTACGCACCCGGGCCACCAGATCCTTGACGGCTTCAAAGTTGGTGACATCGCATCGCACATTCGACACCCTCACTCCGTGAATCTTTGCCAACTGCTTGGCCCTCTCGTCCATGGATGGGTTGTGCGAGGAATATACCAAAACCAGGTGTGACCCCGCTTCAGCGAGACCTTCGGCAATGGCCGCTCCGATGCCACGGCTTGCTCCCGTCACGATGGAAACCTTGCCGTTCATTTTGAATTGGTCCATGACATTGTTTGGGATATCTGGGGTCGGCCGGCTGTCCCGGTCGTCAATGCGACATTGTTCTTCCGTCATAGACATTCTCAAACCCTGATTGAAGTGATGAGATAGAAGATTGCAACTAAATAGAAATATATCGTATGTCTGCGCTCAGTGACAATTATTGAAGTGTTGGAATAGCTTACAGGTGGCCAGTGTGTGTGCCCTACTGTGGTTCCAGAATCACCCACGAATGCCCAAGCAAAGGAGACAGTTGCATGGCATGGAAGAAACCTGCTGGCGATTCCACGCTCATTACTAGGTCGGTAGTCCTGTTTTCTTTCCCGTAGCCTAATGGAGAAGGTCATCGCGCAGTGCTAAAATAGCGACTGACTGATGTCCCACACTAACAGTACGCCTAGAGTTACCCTTCTCAAATTAACTTTTCATTCGCTCGTCTACAGGGTGCGAATGAAGTTATATCTAAGAAATGGCGTGAACAAACAGATATCGTGAAAATCAATTTTTATACGTAGAATGAATCAATTTGGGGCAATGGACAATTTAAGACTTCAGTCTATAGGTATCAACACCAAGACAGACACGGCGAGATTGCGCTATTTTGATAATATATTTATTTTCACTTTCTTGTATCCAATCTAACATTCAAATTTTGTTTCTCTTCTTTGCTTAGAAAGAGAAAACTTGGTCCTCCAACTTACTGGCCGGACGGGCCTTGTCAAAGCCTAAAGACTCAGCGGTCTTTTTCATCGCACTTATCATTGGCGGTGGCCCGCAAAGGAGAATCTTAACATCAGGTGCTGGTTTAGGTAGCCATCTCTGTGGGGGGGTAAAAATAATCATTAACTGATTCTCCTTTCCAGATTTGTCGAATATCAAGGGTAGAGGTAGGTTAACTCACGCTGATCATGTCCGAGTTGACAAAGCCCACGCCACCCGACCAATTCCCCGGAGGGTTATTTAAAACATGGTGGATGCGGATTCCATCGTCAGTCTTGGCAATGTGCTCCAAATCCTCCCGTAGCAGGATGTCATGTTCGTTGACGTTGGCAAAGATGAGATCTACCTCAGTCTCATCACCCTCTGCTCGGCCACGTACGATAGCCCGGATAATTTGTAGCATAGGTGTGAGCCCTGTGCCGCCGGCGATCATACCAAAGTGGCGGACCATGTTCTTTGTGTAAGTGAAGGCGCCTTTAGGCCCTCGAACCCGAATACTGTTCCCTAGCTTTAACCCCGCCAGATGCTGGGTGATGTTACCTTGAGGGTAGACCTTGATTAATAAATCAAAATATCCAGGTTGATGGTCTCCAGATATAGGAGTGTAGGATCGAATGACCTCTTTCTCCGTGCCATCCGGCTGGGTGAGCATCGCTCCGATAGAAATGTGCTGACCAATCGGCAAACCCAAGATAGACCCCTCAGTTGGTAGTTTGAACCGGTAACTGACGGCAGACGAATTCATGAGCCCAATTCTCCAAGTTCTACTATCTGGGGTGGGAGTTCTCACATAGCGACATTGTGTGAAATTTCCGTCTTTTGATGCAGCTCAAACTCTTGGAAAACATCAGGCTTCAGGACCCCACTGGTAATCTCCTTGACTTGTTCGACACCATTCGTGATGACTTGTGGTACCAAAGATGCATCGACTAGCGGATTCATAACGCTGACTGTGCCAATTTCAAGTTCCGGGAGAATCTCATTTGCTTCATCAGAGTGTCCGGCATCATCATAAGCCTCTGTGCAATCTTGTCCTGCGGCATCAATCAAAATTTCTGCGCTCCCACTACCCAAAGATTTCCTTTTAGTGCCAATTCGACTTCTAATAGAAAAACATCTCAACACTTACGGATGGTCGTCAACAAATGGCGTAAGGTCGTAGACTTTACCACGCAAGACAATGTATAAATCGCCCTTCGTATTGTGCTCAGCCACCTCGGCTAGAGTAAACTGCTTGCCCATATTGTATGATCAGGGGAATGTCACAAATGATTGCGCAAGGACACGGGAAGTCTTGCCAGTGAATTTTTTGAGAAATTAACAACAAGGGTAGGTAAAGTTAGGAGGTTCAACAGCAGACCTCTAGGTGAGGTTAAACATGATTGGGTCCAATTTTCCGTGGTCGTGGGCCCAACTTGAGCTTCCAATCAGCAACCTGACTATGTCAGCCCCCAGAATTAGCGCGTGATCGACAGTACCCTGGCGGAAACAGTAACTTCCAAGAAATACATCTTGATAAGGGATTGAATGCAGCCATTCCATATTGAAGTCCGCTTGGGGGCCGACACTCATTCTTTGCCCAATCAACAGGCGTTCGCCATAGATTTCCTATCGGAGACTAGTTGGCCCCATAGGCATGAGGCGGGGAAGTGGAGTAAAGTGGGTCAGCGAGTCAGTTGATTTATCTCGATCACATACCCTATAACCTCCAGATACGAATCTCTCCTACTTGCCCGATACAGCCAAGTCTCTTGTCTATTCAACGGAGGTAAAGCGAGATGTATTGGAATACCGAGCAGATAGGCTATCTAGATGTGACTTAATGACGTAAATCTCTATATGAGATATCGTCGTGCAGCTGGGGTAGCGTTGAGTTTGGCTTTCCAGTTCGCTACTCAACTCTATCGATCAGCTCCTCAGCACCTTGCACATTTCTAAACCGATCTCTTAGAACAATTCTCTCTACTCATTCACAAGATGTCTCTCAAAGTCAATCTCAAAGCTCCTAACGGGCGCCAAATCACGTTGCCCACAGGGTTATTCATCGACAACGAGTTTATTGCTGCAACGAATAATCGCAAGATCTCAACCATCAATCCAGCGTAGGTTGAATCTAGGTTGAAACGATCGACACCCTACTAACAAGCTCATTTATTTACAGTGACGAGCAAGTAATTACCTCTGTTGAAGCTGCTTCGGCTGCTGATGTAGACAAGGCTGTTCAGGCTGCCCGCGCTGCGCTTGAGGGCGAATGGTCCACCATCGCTGCCTCGGATCGCGGAGCCCTCATGTACAAGTTCGCAGAGCTGATTGAAGAGCACAAAGAAGTCCTGGCCACTCTAGAGACCTGGGATAATGGAAAGCCATATCAGACTGCGCTCACTGAAGATGTTGCCGAGGTCATCTTCACTCTAAAGTACTATGCCGGCTGGGCAGACAAAATCTATGGACAGACGATCCCTTTGACTTCTCAAAAGTTCGCATACACTCTCAAACAGCCTGTTGGAGTTTGCGGCCAAATTATCCCCTGGAACTATCCGCTAGCAATGGCAGCTTGGAAGTTAGGCCCAGCGCTTGCTTGTGGGAATACAGTCATCATCAAACCCGCAGAACAAACCCCCCTCTCTATTCTGTATCTCGCGTCTTTGATTCCACAGGTTGGTTTCCCACCTGGTGTTATCAACATCATCAATGGGTACGGTCGGGAGGCTGGAACCACCTTGGTAGAACATCCTGGGGTTGATAAGATTGCCTTTACAGGCTCCAGCCTGACTGGAAAGGCTGTCATGAAACTGGCCGCGGCAACGATGAAGAATATTACGTTGGAGACCGGTGGCAAGTCGCCTCTTCTGGTTTTCAAAGATGCCGATTTGGACCAGGCTGCTAAGTGGGCTCACGGCGGCATCATGGGTAACCAAGGACAAATTTGCACAGCAACCTCTCGACTATTAGTTCATGAGGATGTCCTGGAAGATTTCATCAGTCGATTCATAGACGTGATATCCAAGCACAAGATTGGAGATCCCTTTTCGGATGATACCTTCCAGGGCCCTCAGATCACCTCAGACCAATACCGGAAAATTCTCAACTACGTGGAGACTGGAAAGAAGGATGGGGCTAAATTGGTTACAGGCGGGAAGCCATTTAAGAACGTGGGAGGCAGCAAAGGCTTTTTTATTGAACCAACTGTATTCTCTGATGTGACGGAGAATATGACCATCTTCCAGGAGGAAGTCTTTGGTCCCTTTGTATCCATCACCCCTTTCAAGGAGGAGGCTGACGCTGTTCGTCTGGCCAACAACAGCTCATACGGTCTGGGGTCTGCTATTTTCACAAGAGACTATGAGCGAGTCCACCGTGTGGCTGCGAGGCTGGAAGCTGGCATGGTCTGGGTGAATAGCTCCAATGACTCTGACCCCAGGGTACCATTTGGAGGCGTGAAGCAGAGCGGCATCGGCAGGGAACTTGGAGAGGCTGGACTAGCTGCGTATACGCAGACAAAGTCTGTTCATGTAAATATGGGACAGTCGCTCTAGTTATTGAAATCTGAACGGCATGCCTAAGCATCGCTTATTGAACATCTTGACTACGTTATTATTTCCTTGCTCCTGCCCAGAGACCGAATTTAAAAATTGGTGTAATTTAGTATAAATGGTGTAAATTAGTAGATCACCGCCGTTATGTTTGAATGTTTCTTTCTTGTACCTAAGTCTAATGACGCTCTATAATACAAAACGGAATATAATCTTTAACTCTATTGGCATTCCCTGTGGGAATGCCTCAGACCCCCACCACATTTGACATCAGACTATTCCTGGTACTAATTGGGGAAGTGTAAAGAGACCTACAACCGGTCTGATGATCATGTCCTCTCCACTCATTCGTTCCTCCAAAATTTCCGCTCTAGGACTAGACGGTGGAGGCGTCTATGAGAACAATTTACCTTCTCAAACGGGCAAGAATGCTCAGACCCTCCGCATGGTTGGGTTGGAGCTGATTAATCTGGCGATATAAAGTCCATTTCCTGGATGGTAGACGAGGAAGGTTGTTGATGTGCTACTAAGCTTCTATTGGTGTAGTCACTCTAATTCGTCACCTTTTTATTACCCTCTCCTAATCAGATTTACGCATACCCTCATCTTGCACAATGTCTGGAGCTCTGGAAGGAATTTACGAGCCGGGTGTGGTCAACCCTGGCCTGCCTCGTGACAACTCAACCATTCCATACTGGCACATCAATCCTCATGCCTACGCCAACCACAACTCGCCCTGGCCCCAGGAGCCTGCCGACATTGTCATTATTGGCACCGGCATCACGGGCATGGCTCTCTCCCGCACTCTATGTGCTAAAAGACCGGACCTAAAGATTGTTGTGCTGGAGGCGCGAAGCCTCTGCTCCGGTGCTACTGGACGTAATGGAGGTCATATCAAAACGATGCTTTTCTCCATGTGGAACGAACGCAAGCATCAGTTTGGAATTGAAGAAGCCATCAAGATCTCCGAGTTTGAACAAAGCCATCTTGCGGCCCTGTCCGCTGCTATTAAGGAAGATGGAGCCGACTGCGATCTGGTTCACACTACCGGTGTCGAGGCCTACTATAATCAGGATGTGTTCGAGAAGGATCTTGCAGCACTTGAGGATATCCGCGTCCATGCCCCTCACCTAGCTGCCTTGCATACAGTCTGCACGGATAAGAATGTATTACAGCATCAGATGAAATTGTCTAAGCGCTGCATTGGAGCAATCACTATCCCTGCAGGCTCTGTCTGGCCGTACAAATGGATCTCCAAGGTGTGGGAGACCCTAATTGGAAATAAAAGGGTCAACATGCAGACCAACACTCCCGTTGAGGCCATCGAGGACCGCGATGGTGAGGAGTTTGCTATTGTGAAGACGAAACGCGGCAATATCAAGGCCAAGAAGGTTGTACATGCCACCAACGCCTGGATGGGCTACCTTCTGCCTGAGATGCAGCCCTTTCTTTCCCCAGTCCGTGTCAACGTTGTCCACTGGGCTGCCGATCAGAATGGCCAGTCCCCTCTTGGTACCGTCCCCGAGTACTCTATTTGGTACCGCTACGGACGAAAAGATTATGACTATCTTATCCAGCGTACTGATGGCGGCGTTGTCACCGGACGTGCCTGCACTGGCCGTACTACGACTGGTGATGACTCTACAACAGATCTGTCGCCACACGCACATCTGCGAGGCTTTCCCTTTGAGGCTATCGCTAGCCCTAGGCCCGATGCTGCAACGACCATTGATCACGCTTGGTCCGGCATTGTCAGCTTCACTCAAGATGGGCTTCCTTTTATTGGCCCTGTTCCCTTTGCCGGCCGCAGCCACCAATTTGTCTGCGGTGCTTACCATGCCACCGGAATGATCAAGGCGTTTCGGTCCTCTCAAGCTGCTGCATCTATGCTCTTGGGTGAGGAGCTACCCGAGGACTTCCCTACGTCGCTGCTTTTGACGGAGGATCGCGTCAAGGAGTTGCGGCGCTCGCTGGACCGTGGTAATTACCCTTGCTACCGAGCAGTTGCTAAGATTTAGAATTACGTGTTACTTGATAGGCTTCCAGTAATCAATTATTGTGTAACAGAGATAGTTTAGTTTATTACATAGATTGAAATAAAGATGATTAGTGTCCATTCTTACCAAGAGTCCATTTGTAAGGAGTCGATTTAGGGGTCATTCTTCGCCACAATCAATCTATGCAATTCTATCATATATCATGACGGAGACAGCTATCAGGTGCTTTCCGTATGTAGCTTCTCGTAATTCCTACGAATAACTTATTAGTGGGTACAAAAAGGGCGTATGACGGGGCTATCCCCAGATTGAAAAGACCTTTGTATGTATAGTTCATGTAACAAATACGAAGAATACGGGAAATGAAACACGCTATTCTCTGGAGAAGAAGTCAAAAAGCCTCAAACAGCCTTTTTGGCCTTTTGTTTCTATTATAAACTTATCGCCGAGTTTCTGTTGCATTACCAAAGAAGTGAGTATGTTCGAACGAATGTCGGTTCTATGCTTGGTAGCCTCGGCTCACCTCTAGCTATGGCCACCATACTTCTTTCCAGCCTTGCACTAGCCAACGTCGATGACCCAGCAAAATATGCCACACCATACCACACCGAGTTCCCTCTCTTCCGCAGCGCCAATATGAACAGCCCAGACAAGCTATCGAGCGGCATTGGCTTCCACTCCTTCCGAATTCCTGCTGTTGTCACCACGAAAACCGGCCGCATCCTCGCCTTCGCCGAAGGGAGGAGATTCAACCGAAACGACTGGGGTGATATCAACTTGGTGTATAAGAGAACAAAGACAACGATTAGCCATGGTGCTAGTGAAAGCGATTGGGAAAGCCTGCAAGAGGTTATTGGCAAAGGAGACGGGACTTGGGGAAACCCTACCCCTGTTGTGGATGGCGATACAATATATTTGTTCATGAGCTGGAACGACGGCCAATACAGCCAAGATGGAGATGATGAATTACCAAATGGCGAGAAAACAAAGAAGGTAGATTCTACGTGGGAAGGGAGGCGACACCTGTACCTGACCAATAGTACTGATGATGGCAAGACCTGGTCAACGCCAGAGGACCTAACCAAAACACTTACTCCTAATGAAAAGGCTTGGGATGCTGTTGGTCCTGGAAATGGAATCGTGATGACATCAGGCGAAATTGTTGTGCCAGCCAACGGCCGCAACATCGTTGGGCGTGGCACTCCTGACCAGCGTACCTGGACGTTTCAATCTCTAACAGGGGCCGGGTCAGAGGGCACTATCGCCCAAACGCCCAATGGCAAGCTATACCGCAATGATCGAGCGGGGAAGCCAGACGATTATAGAAAAGTTGCTCGAGGGGATATTTCATCCTTCGGAGCTTTTGCGCTTGATACCGGACTCCCAGACCCAGCATGTGAGGCTTCGACCTTGCTCTACAACCTGGCTAATGATGCTAGACCTGCTCGAGTGTTGTTCATGAACTCGGCCCATAATGATTTGCGGACTTTTATGCGCGTGCGTATCACCTACGACGATGATGCGGCGAAGTTCATTTATGGGCGAGAACTGAAGGATGCACCCATCAGCGGCATCGGGGACGAAGGGGGATACTCGAGCATGACGAAAACCGGCGACGCCAAGGTTGGAGCTCTGGTGGAAGCAAATAGAGACGGCTACATGGTTATTGTTTGGAGAAGATTCAACCTATCTTGGATTCTAAATGGACCAAACAACTAGTGATACCATTCCAAGATGATCCTCGGCCACGGAAGGAAGCTCAAGATGGGAGTTTGGTAGTTAATATTCCCACTGTATGAAACATAACTGATCTCCAATAGTACCATTTTGTCAAGTGTCTCGCCATCGGCTTCGATCTCCCTAAAGTTGGGTATTTCTAACCACACCCACGACGGGAAATGGTAAGACGCACGTAGCTGCTAGAATGCTCAAGAGAGTTAAGAAAATATTTCATGACTAAAACATTACAATATTAAATTTGGTCGTCATATTCACATGCTAGCTGTAACTTGTTAGGTGGACTACATTTCTGGGTGTGCCTTTCCACAACCCGAAGGTGACATCTTTCGAACGTGTGCGAATCGTGCACTGAGAATCCGGAAAGTTTCTGGTCAAAAGACTTTGCCCCCCCCACCCCCCCACGATGATCACATTTGAATGGTTTCAAGAAGAATATGATCATCCCCGCAATTGAGAAGAGTTTATTATTGTAAGCCTTGGAAGGTTATACCATTATATATTCTGATACGGGCTATAAAACGAAAGATGTGAAGAAGTTGAAGTTTTATAAATTTAGAAAGTTAAATTGAAAGATTCATTTTTAGATCTAAATTGTACTTATATTCTGAAAGTCTCATATTCTTGTCTGTTTTAGTTACTATAGAATAATTGATTGAATGAAAATATACTATATTATAGCTTAGTACAGATACAGACCATTTTTGAATCATTTTACACGAGAACTATATTACTAGGTATTACGAAACTATCAAGATGAGGCTTAGTTAACATTGCCGGAACCACGATGAAACCAAAACATTCATGCACCCTGGCGTGTAAACTATGGCTTCCAGTCAAGCGTCCATAACGTTGCATGCCAAGAGTGCACCACAAGGCCTTCTACATCTACCTCGGGACTTAATGCGACACCTCTCGTCTCGGTGAAAGGATTTAGCAGGTGGTTGGATGGTAAAATGGCCCGGTCGTCTCCTTAACATGCCTATTAAGCTTACTGGGAATGATATCAGCTGCGACTCCTCGGCGATCTATACTAAATATCGCGAATCCTGCGCCGATCATACCTAGTTGGGTACAATATTGATGATTTCTGTTGGACCGTGGCCTCGTGTAATTCGCCGACCAAAAGCCACGAATGCGCCTCTTTCGCAAAGAACGAAAATAAGGTCATATGACCGCACCAGTGTTTAGAAAATAATCCCTCCGGAAGTCTTAGAGAGACTGGCAGCAGTCAATTCAGTAATCTTCTTCCCTGTGCCGTCCAACAATTTCCATTGGACTCAGACTCGACATTTAAGAGGTAGCCATCACCCTCAACTCAAAGAGTCACACAGCAATGTCACAAATCACAGGACGACCTGCGCCCAACACATCGTGGGGTCGCATTTTGCAACTGCAGCCAAACTTAGCTGAATGCAACCATCATATGTGAAAGCTGACTAGATAAGCGTAAGCAGAAAAGAAGCACGGAGCTCGTTGCATCAAAGCCACCGTATTATCCCTTCAACACCTCTCTAGAGCGTTTCCTCTGGGATATTCTTTGATTCGTGAAAAGGTGCACGATACACCTTCATCTCAGCTATTGATGCTGACACACTAATCTAGGGCACAGAGTGGCTTGACGCGGAACAAACTGTCAGTAGAGATTCTACGGTGAGCAAAGTGTCGAACACTGAGACTAACATTTAGACAAGATAGGTGGAGTTGTGAGAACCGGATTCATTGGATAATATTAGACTTCAGTTTTCAGACCCTGACTCCGAAAGAGCGACGATGACACGGGATAGGCAGGATAAGCCGCACCAGCCATCTCGTGCTGCACGTAAGGACAGTCATCGGCGAGTTCGAAAGGGAAAACGCCTAGACAGAGCGGCGAAAGGGTTGGCGAACACCCGCATACCATTGCCGTCTCGAGACTTCTTAGAATTAAGCCCATCGAGGGATCATGAGCACGGTTACTCTAAGAGACCTGCCTTTGCCGTGCGATACGAGGCTCCTCCTCGGCGTGTCAGAAGAAGGCTAAGCCGTGATAAAGACATTGATGAAGGCGTTCCACAACCAGCTGACCACTTTGATCAAAGGAATCTTGAAGCAGATCTGAAACGGGGGGGCCGTCCTCGACTGCCTCGTCGCGATGAACGTCCTGGTCTTCAACGAGCTATTCTATTAGAGGCAGAAAGGCACCAGGAAAGATTTGCTAAGTCTAATGTTGCGGATGCCGTGTACCCCCATCGAGCGAGAGCTTTCGAATTTCCCGACAATTGGACCACATTTCACGAGGCTTTGACCACAGTAGTTGGAGAAGAAAAGACATTTCTCATGTGAGTGACCTCCAGACGGATAATCACTTTAATGCATTGAAAATACCTAATGGGCTTTTTTTCGCCTCAAAGTATCTTCGAAGGGACGCCGACAGATGCACAGATTCGAGATGTTGAACTCGTTCCAGGTTTCTATAGAGGCTCACGGCGTTTCTTTGGAGGACAAGGGTCTGGCAGAGAGCTTCCAAATAGTTCTGGCAGAGGTATATCTCAAATGCTCACCACAATCTTTCATGTGCTGAGAAAGGTTAGAGGATCTCACTTTCGACAGCCCGTTCCTCTATTTCTATCCAGAAGGTGTAGTATTTTGTAGTTCTGCTCACCCAATGTCTTGTAATTATATAATAATATCTGCACAGATCAGGAAAATCGAGAATCGCTCGCTGCTCGCTACGTCCGCGTTTGGATCGCCAATACCAAATTCTTCGCTGTTGTGCATGACTCACGCCATGATCTGGCTCGACCCGACCCGATACCAGCAGACTGGGATAGTTTCCAGAACAACTATCAGATAGTGCGGGAGCATCACTCTATCGCACTCATACTTCTTCATCACTACAATGTGTCAAGCCGTTGGGCGCGTTATGAGACGTCTGCCTGGTAGCTAGCAATCGATCTCTACAGCTCGCTCTATATCAACATGTGGAACAAAGCACACCACGAGCTGGCGGGGGAGGTTGAGAGCTATGTTAGTATTCTTCGCATTTTCCTTGTTGATCCTCATTCTGACATGGGTATCTCTTATTCTAGCGAGATTGCATCATTGATGACTTCACCAGAGCTCCTATTACTCAACTATCTTCTTCTCTTCACAAAGGACAGGATCGTCTCTTATACTTGCTAGAATTGAAAAGATGTCAAGGGGCTGTTTTCCAGCGCCTTGATTTATTCCTATCCGAGAGGCAAGGCCATTATAAGGGTGAACTCAAGTTTAGGATAAAGTCTATGATCGATCAAACAGACCTCACCCAGAAGGTTATCGATCTTCTTCTGAAGAAGGTAGACGATTCCCTCAACCTGGTATGCCCTATATTTCTAATATTTTAGTTGGGGTAGGTTCTAATCAGCATCAGCTTTTCAACATAACAGCAGTTAATGAATCAAGGTCAATCAACAGGCTCACATACCTTGCATTTATCTACGTACCCTTGTCATTCGCGACAGTGAGTATCATGCATTCCCAATCATCTAGAAGCATACTCGATAACGCTTTCAAAGAGTGTCTGGGGAATGACCCAATTCCAAATTGCAGCGGAATGGGTTGCAGTTCTCGCACTACCACTTCTGACCCTCACTCTATTCCTGGTTGCCATATCATATATTGTTGCTCGCAAACTGGACGACCGAAAGATGGACAAAATCAGGGCTAGAACAGATTATCTCGTATAAAGGTTTCAATTGCGGTAGAATGAGGCATCAATAGTTCAATGAAATATTTGTCAGTAGTTGCTCTACTAATGCCATCTCGGACCCCCTTAGTAAGAGTGCGTATCATTTTTCCATTTCTTAACAGATTGCGTCTTATAACTGAGATATATGCTTCTACTTATTTATCCACCCAGAGCATTTTATCTGTTTAATACTATCCTCTACTAGGAGCTGAAATCAACCTCTATGTGTAGCACACTAATACTCATTCAGAGTAGACCTAATAAAGGTCACGACTTCCGTTGATCGGGTGATCAATATGGCGCCCCGTTGCCAAGATGCATTTTCTACTCGACCAACCGATTCCAGCCCTCAGTCCCTTTCTGCCCCGCCGAGGCATATTCGTGCTTGGCTCTTGCGTAATCTTTGTTCTTTCTGGTTACATAGGTATTTAATCGACGGTTCCAGCAGTCGCCCAGGGTTCCAAAATTCAATAGTATGGAAACAGCATTCGGTGAGCCTTTTTCTTGATCAAAATGAACAGATTCTCTCCAAGAACGCTTCGTCAGCACTATTTTTACTTAACCTTCCTCGGTCCGGTGCAGCTACTCACTGCTATGACTGTCGCTGGCATGTGTGCCACTATCCTGGCCAAGGTCCCTGATGGGATCCTTCTTCCCATCGCAGCGTACTCTCTCGTGCATGTAAGTCGAGCCTAAAGCGTGTACCTATGAACGAGTGCTATTGACACCCTGCAGTCAGTGCTACATTTCCATTGGATTCGGCCCACGATGCAATGTGCCACCAGTCCTGGGCCGACCAACTGGTTCATCATACGTTTGATATTCTACACACTCGGCTGGATTGTAGTGTCTATCCTTATGTTCTTTCTACTCGGGACAGAACGTTCAGACACCTTCGACGCTCGCCTCGCTAAGCGGCGTGGCGCAAGTCCCACGCCCTTTTCAAATACCCCACTGCCAACTACAGAAGAGCTCCTTCGACAATTGACGGCGGCTAGCGGCGCGCTCGGGGTCTTTGCACTGTGAGTTGAATGGGATGTGACCAAGGACGTATCAATACTGACATGAGCTTCAAAAGATTAATCTGCATCGCGCAATGGTGGATAGTCAGACGACTTTACACGCGGGTATGGACTGCGAAGGAAGTGGAGGATGTATTCAAAGAAATGAGTCAGAAGAAGAGCAAACACAATAGGGAAGACTCCTACTAGAAGAAAAGAGGCAATATCTTTGGAATACTAACTGACTTTGAAGTTTAAGGCTATATCATATCACTGTCTATCATAAATAAGTATAGGATTTATTACTAGCCTCTGCATCAATGATTCATCCCTTGAAGCTGAAGTAATTATCCTATTTTAAGCTAATAGTGTAATTTTCGAAAGGTTAATTTTATATTTAGAAGAGCGATTTAGCATCTTATGATCACGACTGTATGCGTCTACTTCTTCACTCACCCATAACCTTCCATCATTCCAACATGGCCATCTGCCAGGAGATAAAATGAATCCTGTACCAAGTTACGAAATTATAAACTCTCCTTCCAAACACACAGTCTCATCCCTTAGCGAACCTGCCATGACAAGGCCGTTGCTATAGCCTGAGGTGGGGAAGCAAAGCCCACCATGGTTTATATTCTCGTGGAGGGGAACCATAATATATCTTAAGTTTTCACATCATCGAGAATCATAGGAAATGAAGGTGATCATTGCTTTAAGACTTATTCCAAGATTGTATTTATTATTTGTCTGCACTAACTATCAATTCTTCAAATCTTTGCTCAAGAAACCCTATTCAAAAGATACAATATTGTTATGTAACACGTTCTGCTACTTCTAAGGTCAAGTCATTCAAAGAGACGGCGATAGCCTCTTCTTCACGAAGGTGCGCGTCTGTTTGTCAAATGGTCAGCGTATGGTTCTTCATCAAGCATGTTGAGCAAGCTGGCAACTTACCTCGCTCACAGTGTCATACCCAAACAGCCAGGGCTGAAAGCTGCCGTCGGACCAGCGGTTTGAATTTGAATCCAATTTTTCCTCTGCCTCTTCCTCTTCTTGCTCCCTCAAACCCTTGCCCATTTTACTATCGCGTTCCACTTGTGCGGGACCATCGGGAAGATGCCAGACATCGCCGTTGCCACGCGAGACCGACTGGATAGTCTCACAGCGCGGCTTTCGCACCTCTTCAAACGCTTTCAGGACGACAGGTAGCATGTCAATGCTATCTGCAAGATCAAGGCATTCGGCCAAGGCTGCGCCGTCCTCGATAGACATGGCCGCACCTTGTGCAAGGTAAGGAACTGTCGCGTGGGCAGCGTCGCCAATCAGCACAACCCGTCCGTTGTTGCTCAACCATCGAGGAAGAGGGGGCATCTCTGCGAGCTTCCACTTGAGTACAGATTCCACCTTCTCCAGAACCTTGCGAATGACCGGGTCGTAAGTTTTATAGTTTTGTCTCATCTCATTCAGGTCACCTGGTTCATTCCACTTGCCGAGAGTGGCCTTGCCCGGGTGAGGCATGACGACGTTGTAGGCTTGGCCGTTGTCAATCGGGTACGCCATGATATGGCCTTGCTCTCCAATCCAGCAGTTGCAGTTAACGTCATCCATCAGCGCAGCGGTCTCGGGATCCTTCAGCATCGCCTCCCGAGATATCACAGCTCGGTATGCGCAGTCAGGCGAATCGACGGGTTCGGGATTCTCACTGCCCAAGATACTTGCTCTTGTTCTTGATTTAATTCCATCTGCGCCCACGATCAAATCTCCAGTCAGGACGTCGCCGTTGACCAGCTTCACGCTTGGGCCGGCCTCGTCTACACTGTCAACGGGGCTGTTGAGTAGGACCTTGGCGCCCAGCTTCTCCGCATACTGGCACAGGATTCTCTGATAGTCTGCGCGGTGAATCAACAAGTATCTAGCAGGCGAGTTAGATTAACAGTCAATTCAGTTCGAAATCTACGTGGAAAAACTCACGGGAAGCCGTAGACCTGGCTAAGGCGTGGATGCAGATGGGTCCGGTCAAGGATCTCTCCCGTCGCGTATCTGCGGATCTGAATACTCTTGGGCCATACGACGTACTTGAGAATCTCGTCGTAGATTCCGTACTCCTTCAGCACTCGGGTGCTATTCGGCGGGATCTGGATGCCGGCGCCGACCTCTGCGAGCCTAGATGCGCTCTCAAGAACGGTAACGTCGTGGCCTTTTTGTCTGAGGGCAATGGCGGCTCCAAGTCCGCTCAAGCCACCGCCTGCGATAATAATCTTCAACTTCATCTTGAGCGTCTTAAATGCGGGGTTCTCTCGATGTCGTATTGATGCTGGGTCGGGCTGCTGATGCGAGATGGCGTAAGCAGTCAGAGCACACAATCACCGTGTGCTCAAGAAATCTCTGTATGAAAAGCTAATAGGGGTGCCCAATCAGAGAGAGCGTGGTTTGTCTCAAATCACTGAGGAATGTAATGTAAAGGTTGTCTCGGATCAGGGTTTTCAACGGGACAGTGAAGATGAGGAAGATTATATCCTAGCTGGCACGTGGAGATGATGCGGGGTTGCTTGATGCTGAACAGAACGATAATCATTGCGTGTTACACATGCTATTATAATCAATTTCAAAACAGGCTTATACGCGGTTCGGTTCGGGAAGATGGGGGAGAGATCCCTCCAGGCCTCACTCAGTCACCGGGTAATCGACACCCGATTGGCCAGACTGACCTGGAGACATTCCATCAAGTACGATTTTCGGGGGAAAGTAAACTCCCCGCGCTGAGCTGGAGTAATCGTTACGTCCCCAGAAATCAGAAGCTGGGGCCCAGAACGATTCCGTTGGACCACTATTGGCTGGCCCCCGGGATCTCGATATCCCGCTGATCTCGGAATCGGGTAAAAGGTTAGCCTTATATGATGTTCCCGCGCACCCAAGCCCAGATTTTTAGCACCCTTTCCTTGTCCAGTGGCTCCAGATGCCGCAGGGTAGGCACTCTCTCTTTGGCACGAGTCATCTCGTAGCTCTGAACGCTTCCGGGTCTGATTTTACCCGCCGAGCACGCCACTTCCTTAGGAGCCAGGCTACCTTTCCACAATCCAACCAGAACATGCGACGGATGATGTCCATTCGTTTGAGCTAGTGTGTCTTCCAGTCTCGTGACCCATTCTGACGGTGGAACAACCTCCAAGCTGCCTTGCCCAAGATCATCGGATACCCAGGAGAGCAATTGCGACCAGTCAGGGTCTTTGAATGGGTTCAGAACATGGTACACAAGTGGTTTAGTCGGCAAACTGCTCTGCTGGAAATGACATTTTGACATTTTGGCGTGTGCTCCCAGCGCGATTTCCAAAACCGCATCGGCAGCAATGTCAACAGGTAACCAGTCAAGAGGCTGATCTTCAAGATGAGGCAAACACCCGACGAGCGATTCCGTGGACAGCATCAAAGGATATGCTTCACTTTTGTTCCATATCCCTGATTGATTGCCGCAAAGCTGGCCAACGCGAATGATAGACATCCACGGGTGCATCTCTGAGCCCAGATCGCTTTCCGTCGCTGTTACTGCCTTATACGCCGCTGTACAAACTTGTTCTGCGACCCATTTGGATTCTGAATATCCCATGGGCGACGCATCAGCAGGGTCTTCGGATACATCTTCCCGTATCAAGTGGGAGGCCGAACAGCTCACAGCCGCAATTGAGCTAATAAAGACGAACTTTGCACCGCTCCTGACAGCTAATTGTATCAATTGCTGGGTCCCGGATACCTGGTCCTCAAACGACGGAAGACGCAGATTAAAATTGACAGTCCAAGCTGTGTGAATAAAGGTTGTTGACGAATTCGAGAAATCATCGAGGTGTTGTTTCGAGAATCCGATTGCACCATCCGACAAGTCGCAAGCCAGACACACAACACTTGGCTTTGTGTGCGAGGTCTGATGAAGATCAATCAATCCATACTGCGCAAGAACACGGGCAACCCTCTGATAAGCATCTTCCGGGGTCTTGGCTCGGACCAACAGATACACAGCATCGACATTCTGCTTCTTGCCGAGTAATGAATGAAGAATGTGTGCACCCAGAAACCCCGTAGCACCACTCAGAACTACCACGTTCCTAAACCCTTGTTGTGGGATCTTAGGGCTCAAGGAACCAGAGAAGTCTTTATATCTGTCCGCCATATGTCGCATCAGTTGATGCCTTCTCTCATTTTGGTCTTGCTTCTCGAGGGATTCTCCACTGCGAACTTGTTCAAGGTGTTTGACCAGATTATTCACGCTCCCACACTCATATATAATATTAAGTGGAAGCTGCTCTTCTGGATCAGACAAGCAGGCTTCCATAACCTGTGCCCGAATTTGCAAGCACGCCATCGAATCAACGTTCTGTTTGTAAAGATCCTCATCGGGGTCTATCTCACGGCCAAGAACTCGGAAAAAGCTTTCAAGTATTGCCTGGTAGAGCTGATCGCGGCTAGCGATTTGAACCGGGGCCACGATTCCAGGCTTGGTGTATGCCGCCTCGATCCAAGGTTTGTATCTTTCTTCGGCGTGGTTACGAATTATCGTACCTTTACTGCTCTTTCGCAGGGCTGCCTCATCTGGAGGCACGGAGACGATAATAACCATTGATTTTGAGATTCGAGTATGGCTCTGAGACTGAGAGTTTATCTTTTGTATGACCGGCCAAGCAGTCTCAAGTATCGTGGTGTCTGATGTATCCACGGAAGAGGGAAACAAGAGAATACCAGGATAATTCCTGCCGCTTCCGAAGATAAAGACATCGCGTAGTGTGTTTGTAGCAGCGAGGATGTCTGCTTCCATGGGCGCTGGATCAAATTTCTTGCCATTGGCAAGCATAAGCTGAGAATCAGCACGACTGTGATAGCGCCATGCGTTTGGAATTGTTCCATGAGGCTCGAACAAATCTGCGGTCGCGTACGACCCATCGTCTCGGTTGGTTTTAACCCTCAGCGGCCACGCAGGTTTCACGACAAGCTCAGATAGTCCATCGTCTCTTGGCTCGAATTGAAGATATCGCTCGTCTTCAATAGGACGCAGATACTGCCATTCTCTATCTTGTCGATAATCCCGATGTGACGACATGAGGAATCCGGATTCCATGCTGCCCATCCTTGAGACAAGATTGATACCAGCCCCCACCAACCCGTCACCTATTGCGGGTGGTAATGGTGCGCCGCCTACTCCAACAAGTTCCATCGACTGGAGAAGTTCGATCCCGTGTTTATCTTCGAAGAGCATTTGTAAGATATATGGAACTGATGTAAAGTACTGAACCGGAGCATCACATTTCTTTCGAGCGTGCGCGACGGCACTGATGATGTTGGATGCAGTAATTGGTGCGAGCCCTTCAGGGAAGAACCATATCATCGAACTGCTCGTCCAAGATCTAAGCAAGTCCGGGAGACCTCCATGATATAAGGGTGTCATAGAGAAGGTGGCAGGTCGATTTTCTTCTTGAAAGCATGGGAGAACCTGGATTATTCCTGACTGAGGCTGGGGGATTGGTTTGGGCAGACCAGATGATGTTCCAGATGTATGAGAGAAATAGGCGATTTCGGGTTCTCTATTGCTTTCAATTTTCACAACGGGCTCTTCATTTGTGAGATATTCTTTATATGGCGACAGGCGAGGAATCTCGACTTGCTCAACTCCTTCGACGGTTATATTCGAAGAATCCTCCACGAGCAAGACCTGTACGTTCAATGTGGCACAAAGGTGCTCGATTGCCTGTGGTTGTAGCTGAGGACTGAAAAGACAGTCAGCGAATATTTGAAACAAACTTTCGGGAATGATTGAGAACTTACGCAAGAAAGACTGCCGTGTATCCCAGTCGTAAAAGGCCAAGCCAAGTCAGGACGAAGTCGATACCACTCATGGACAGCAGTCCGATGTTCGATCCAACAGGAATATTCCTTGAGAAGGCTGGTCCAAGCAAAGTTTGCAGTCTATCGGCGGCATGGTATGATAAGATTGATAATTCACCGAACGTTAAGAAGTCAATATCTAGCACATTTCTTAGCCGTTGTTCCCAAACTCAAGCTATGGAGATGCAATTACCATTAACTTTATGCTGCCTGGAAACGAAGTCTGCGAAGCCTAAAGCGGGCGCCTGGGGAAAGCGGCGGGAGTTCCCATCGATTAATTGCAGTACGGTACCAAATTCGTGATCTAGATGTCCGGTTTGCTCCTTGCTCTGCGCCGCATGGCCCAACGTGCATGTGAAGTAGTTTAGCTTAACAGTTGCCATTGTATCGCATCACAAAATAAAGGTCAAACCTCAAAGAAGTAAAGATACACGATTAAATAAAACGCTCATCATGCGGGCTATGGCGGAGATAAATAGCGCCGGGATGTAAAGTCAATTTTCACTGGATGAAACTTTGATATCATCATAGACTCATCCATTGACGCACCATTTCGCGCATTTGGCCTGCTGCATCTGATTACGAGACCAAGAGCCAATCAACGTCGACGTTGCCATGATGTGTCACTTTTGAGATGCCACCAGTAGAAGAAATTCCGGAAGCCCAGTTATACAAACTCATATTGGTGTTTTCGGACATCACCCAGCTGTGGAGAGGATGATGATTTTGTCAAGTGTATCACAATAGCGCCAGTAGCACAACCCTTGAAAGGCTAGGTGTAGGATAGAAGTATGTTGTTTAAGGTTACTCATCAATCGATCTATTCCAGGTTTATGCGCGAGCGAGAACTATGTTCCTGCAGGATGATAATGGATTCGTCTGCTTCGCTGACGATCTCAATTGCGAGGTAAGAACAGGAGCCCCCAGGTAGTTCAAGAAAACCCGCCAGCAGATGGCCAAGAAAAAATATCAACCTAAGTCTAATTAATACGAAATTCCTGACGATAGTGTAACCCAGCGAAAGACGAGCGACAGTAAACCGAGGAGAGCTATCCCATCAAAATCATCCTGGATCAGTATCAGAAGTTAAGTGATATCTCGAGCAGACAGTATTGTCGGAGCACCCTAAGTCAAGCACGAGCGCTACGCTAAATCCACTGAGCTCCGAATTAAACAAAGTCAATGTATGGATCAGCGACAACACGGTCTACAGAAGAGTCCTAATTGATTACAATGGGGGGTGACCCCGAAGCGCTTTCAACCTCCGCTATAGAGTAGAAAGATTCGGTATAGGTTAGGCTAGAAGCAGGTCACGGTGATGGATGCGCGAAATTGTTACAATCCCTATTACAGACATTTTAGGCTCGCTGGAGAAAGAATGAATAAATTATCGAGTGCACGAATCTAGCTACAACAGCTGCTCGATTGCTGCTGGTTGGAGATGGCATCCGTAGTGCCGCTCCTACTCGACGGCCCCTCGGTGATCTTAACAACGAACCAGTCACACAGAAATTTACCCAGCCCTGCACCAATTATCATGGAGATGATGAGATATCCATTAAACGACATGACGATCAACATGAGAGCCCACGTGAGGCCGGATGTACAGGCGTATAAGACTGAGCGCGTGAGCTGTTGGAGAAGCGATGCGCGTAATACGAGAGTGCGTGGCGCGGAGTCGCTTGATTTAATCTCGCTGCCGTCGGAGGATGCGATTGAGAAGACGTAAGAGGCTCGGCGCTGATATTGGCCTAGCAGGAAGTTGTCATACTCCTTGGATGCGCGACGCACCACCTCGAGGAGAACAACGAGCAGAGCTACGCCGATGCACGAAGCAGCCATAATGCCGCCGCTGGTAATTTGCCATGATGAAGCGAACACGCATGTATCGACCGTGTCCCAGTTCCATAGCATCTAGAATCACGAATCGTTAGTGTCTGTCTGGTTAATCGGGCACGAGAGGATGTATCATCAAGATGCAACATACTGCCGTTTTGCACTCGGCTGAATCTGAGCTACCGTGATCCATGATGGCTAGTGGTTATCTTCGGGGATGAAGGTCTAGGTTGGTAAAATTGAATAAATGCTTAAAGACAAGACTCGAGCCAGAGAAAATGGGGTGTATATGGGGTTCTGATACTAGAGAAGAACTGGTTGATATCTGCGGCTGGGAGGCAATCGCAAGAAGTGAGCACGTTTTTCTTCGGTACCAAAACCTCCGGGGCCATGCAACAGCTAATTGCTGCGATATGGCCAGAACAGCCCTCTCAAACAAGAAAAGATGGACCTGTTCGGTCTCATCTCCGTTTCTGTTACAGCCAAGAGCCGGAGCCAGGAGAAGACCCCACGCTACTGAGCGTATTTGAGCAAGTTTCCCGAGCTGTGATTGGCCAGAAAACAAGGTTAACAGTGCTCTAGCGGATTCGTTTTTCTGGATACCTGAAGACGAATCCTCTCAAGCTCCCTGCGGGCCGTTACGCAATGAGGCGAATTGGTGCTGGTTTATCAGGAGACGGCAACATAGGAGAGGCTTGCAGGTGTCAATACGACCCCGTCCAATAGCATTATTTCCATTTAGTGGTCGGTTTTATGCAGATTAGCCGGGGCTTCATCCATGGCATCTCCACATGTTTTATGGTGGAGCGGACCGTGAACCGGAGACACACAATGGTATAGAAACAATGTCATCGACGCCTCGTCCCAGTTCTCCAGTCTGCGATTGATTTCCACCCTTCAAGTTAGCATCTGTAGCGAGCGGCTGGCCGACGACAACATGAAGGACAGACTCGTCAACCTGTTCGCCCGTGTGGGTTACCAGTCGCAGGACATCTCACAGAGCACGACCGTCCCCTACTGGGGATACGCTGTGCGAGTCGTGCCATGCGCCAATGATGCTGGAACTTGCGAGTACTTCGAGGCTGTCTACGGCGGCCATGAGCGCAGTATGCTCTACTCCGGCATCCTTTGGGCGACAATTGGCGGCATCCTCCTCATCTGGGCAATTCTCCGCCATGCCTATGCCACTCCCCTTGCTGCCGCTCACACTGGCTCCGAGAAACAGCCAAAAGTGAGATCGACAGGTTTCCGGATACGACGAGCCATTGGCGTTGCGACAAGGCAATATCTCCTGCCCCAAACGCTGCGCTCCATCTTTGGCCGCACCACCCGCCTCCAAATCTTGGTTCTGGCCATCTTCACTGGCTATCTTACCATCTGGTCATTTGTCGGCATCACGTATAAGGCTTGGAGGACGCCAGTGAAGGGCTACGACAACCTCTACCAGACTCGATCCGGCCTCGGGCCCTGGTCCGACCGCGTCGGAGTCATCGCCTACGCCTTGACTCCCTTCTCCGTCATGTTGGCCTCCCGCGAGTCAATTCTGTCGCAGCTTACCGGCATCCCCTATCAGAATTTCAATTTCCTCCACAGATGGCTTGGATACATCATTTTTGTCCAGTCTCTCCTCCACACAATTGGGTGGACGCTCATCGAAACGGTGTATTACCAGCCTCAACCGCAGGTGGCTAACAAATGGATCGCGCAACTCTACATGATCTGGGGTTGTGTGGCTATGATTCTTCTCCTTATTCTCTTCGTCCTGTCGACGCCATGGGCCATTCGCCTGACCGGCTACGAATTCTTCCGTAAGAGCCACTACATCCTCGCCATGGTATACATCGGCGCATGCTGGGGGCACTGGGACCCGTTGAAGGCCTTCTGTAAGTAACCTCCCAAGCTCCTGTTTATTCTTGGCACCCTCTAACCGTATTTCTTGGTAGTGGTGCCTGGCCTGGCCCTCTGGTTTGTTGACCGGCTCATTCGAGCTATCCGGTCAGGTTTAATTCATTACCAGTTCCTGCCCGACGGATCCATGGGTTTCAAGACCGCCGATGCTGTCGCCACGCTGTTCCCCGACTCTGAAAATGGCGACATTGTTCGCCTTGACTACCGTCACCCTCAAACTCCTTGGAATCCAGGACAGCACTTCTATCTTTGCTTCACCCAGGCCAGCATCTGGCAATCTCATCCGTTCACTCCGCTCAGTCTTCCGGTGGAGAAAGACGGCTCAGTCCTCCACTCCTACATCTTCCGCGCGAAGAAGGGCGAGACGAAGAAGGTTGCCAAGCAGGTGGCGAGCAAGCTCTCCACTGCCGAGGGCAACACCGCGGTCACGACGCCAGTTGTCATGCAGGGTCCGTATGGTGAGAACCTTGTCTCGGATCTCACGGCCGATGTCAATGTCCTCTGTGTGGCCGGTGGCACCGGAATCACATATGTTCTGCCGGTTCTGCTGTGGCTCCAGCGGCAGGCTCCCAGCGTGGACAGAAAGATCAGTCTTGTGTGGGCAGTGAAGCACCACAAGGACGTGGAATGGGTTAAGCCCGAGCTTGAGCAGCTTAGATCCGCTGCATCAACACACGGTCTTACCATTAGCATATTTGTCACTCAGGACCAGGAGACGGCATCATCGCACGCTTCTGATAGTGAACAGTCGGCAAATGAAGAGAAGGGCGTTGCGACGAGGATCCGTGCTTTGAGATCGAGCTCGCATAATCCAGGTCGTCCTGATGTTGGTGCTGTCGTGCCGGCTTTTGTTAAAGACGTGGTTCGCGGGCGGACCGTCGTTGTTGCAAGCGGCCCAGGCAGCATGCTCTCCAATATCCACACTGAAGTTGCCAAGCTCAACTCAGGCAGTAAGGTTTACAGGGGCGAAGAGAGATTTGATGTTGAGTTGAAATGTGATGATAGGTTAGAGTGGTGATATATTAGATACTAGATACCCAATGAGTTTAATGCAATTGATACGATACACGCAAGTCATAAGAATGAGTCAAGTCTGCATGCCATACGACGTATTCGGAGATCCATTGGTTCTGAAGACTCCGACTGGAGTAGACGGTGCTTATGGCTGCCAATGAAGATGCGAGTGATCCGAGAGCGAACCAACAAATGAAGGGCGATTATCTTTGGTTTAGAGGCCATAGAAATCCAAGTAAATCTCGACCTGAGGAAGAATGCCATCCCGTGATATTGATGAATGCTTGTCTACATTCCAAATCCAAAAATCGCATCTGGCAAGGCGGACAGAAATGTGTCTCACTTGGAGAGTGCCGTGGCCTTCGAGACCGCTGTATGTTCCTTGCACCATTGAATTCACTAATGGGACTTTGTCTTTTATCTCTTATGTCTTAGGCTGGGCTGATACCACGGTATTGAATGTCTTTTAGACTCAAAGGTCCTATCACCTTGCGAATATGCGTTGCTTGTGTGATCATGGCATGCTCTGGAGATTAGACTTTGTATATCACCGAGTCTATGTTATTCACTGAGCCTTAGGTTAAAGGCTAAGTTATCATTGGCATTGGGTTTGATTTTTCATCGATGTCTAGGTAGGGGCGATGTCTCGGGCGCGGACCTGGGTTGTTGATCCAACGGGGAATGCTGACATCTCCAGCCATTTTCAGATACGAAACAAGACGGCCTTATATACATTCTTTCTTTCTGCAACATTAGAGACAGGAGGTTCAAGTATTTTAGAGCCTATATCTCGTTATTTAGTCCTACCATAGTTGAGCGGCAGTTTTCTTCTCACGGTTCCATCCAGAGCAATCACTCCTCAAATTCGACACCATGAAGCATCTCATTGTTGCTCTTTTATCCGCCGTGGCAATCGTTGCCGCAAGAGATTATGAAGCCTGCCCACATTCAGGGAAGCTTCTGTGCTGTAACTCGGGCCTCCTAAACCTCGCCTACCTCCGTTGCTTCAAGCGTAAGCCCACCTAGGAATCCGCCATCCCCAATGTTGGCTTGAGCTATAATCATGAAATTAACACCCAACGAATATAGCCGACTCAACCCCCAATTCCGCGAAGGATCTAGAGAGCATCTGCGGATACGAGCATGCCGACCCCAGATGCTGTTCCGTCAAAGTAGTGAGTCTTACCCCAAAGCCGGGTCCAACATATTATAGCATGCTGATAAAGAAACGCGGAAAGGTCAGCATTGGAGCTCTTTGCCAGGACGCTGAAGGCTTTCACAATGGCCATTTGCATGTTCGTGAGAGCGATGAAGATAACTCGCTGAACCCTGAATTATCATAAAGCAACTAAGATACGAGAGTAGCAGCCAGGAGGGATTCACATATTCGTAGTCAATAAAAAGTCTCCTTTCCTAATATCTAGAGTGAAACCATCTTATGGGGGCAAAACGTCAAAGTGACGTGTCTTTCCTCTCTTGTCAGGCCATAACACAGCGGAGGAGAAGCCTATCGACGCTGACAACCAGTTTGGTAATATGGCACTTGGGGGAGCTATTTGGGGGGCCTCGATTAGCCGGCCCCCCTACCGCTACGGTAGGGGTCAATGTAGCAATTTCGCCAGTGATTCGCAGAAAAAAAAGGAAAAACAGTGACTTAATATACATAATATACTACATACAAGACCGTTGATGCTGGCAGGCCATCATAGAGGTAGGCAAAGCTTGTGAAGCTGGGGTTTTCAGTAGGGCTGTTGATTGTATTTGTGAGGCCGGGGTAGATAGGATCTAGCAAGGATCCGACTTACCTGCTTAATTAGGGCTGCGTCTGTTGATTGTATTTACCTGGATCGCGGCTGACAGGATCAGACTTACCTTCTTCTGGCTACTCAAGGCTGTGCGACCTTTACGACCCTGCCTTGCCTGCTGATGATTTATCCGTAAGAGTCAGTGTGGATAGGATTAGAGTTACCTGCTCGAGGTAGCTTGGAGCTGTAGCTGTTGATCGTATTCATCTGGACTACGGTTAGCGGGATCAAGTAAGTGTCTGACTTACCCGCCCAGGTTCGTAATATACGCGCGTATAACTCACACTTCTTCGCCATACCACGAAACGCCTTCCTCGTAAGCTCACGATAGCAACATCAAAGACGGGATAACCCGCGGTCTAATTTTCTATCGACTAATGGCCGATTCTTTGAGAATCCAGCAGCCAATAAGTTATAACCATCGATATATAGAGTGACCTACCGTCATTTGAATAGCTAACCTTAAAGCTGGAAGCTGGGCCCTACCCCTGAAGGGGTCGGACAACACCTTGCTGGGCCCCCCTACCGTACCTACGTATGTGGGCCGGGTAATGTAGGTAGGGTAGCAGGGTAAGGCTTTGCGACCAACAGAGCTTATTGTCTCTGCTACGCAGGCACATTTCATCGTAACCCCTTCACCAGCAACATAAACAAGCGCACATCCTCATGACCAAGAAGATGGCCACGCCCGAGTCCGATTGCGAAACAGATGTGCTTTGCCCGCGATGTAGGTCTATATTCAGCGGCCAGCAAATTCTCAAGTCCAGAAGCGAGCAATTCGCCAGCTGGCCGCCACCAACCCACCACCCGTCTGTCAGCTCGTTTGAGGAGGCAATTCGTTCGGGATGCGTCATTTGCAACCGCCTATGGTGGGGGTTAAAAAGGGCAGGCCATGGTGATCTCAGAGTGTTTGACGAGGAACCTGGTTTCTCGTACTGGACTCTGTTACGCGGGAGGGATGAGGGAATCGATCTAGACATAAAGGTGTTCTATCCAAGCAGTCTGTCTTATCCATATGGCGGTACCGAACAGTGGTCGTTTACACTTGGCCAATCTGTAATATCCAGCGAAAGTACGTCCACTATTGATCGAATCTCACCAGGAAGAATGAGCAATAACAGAATTTCTCACTAGGATACGACGGTGCTACAACAAACGTACTTGCTGATGACGGCACTAGTACATCGTCCAAGGCTTCTTGGGATCGAGCTACTAGTTGGTTAAGCCAGTGTCGAAACCACCACGAGACATGCAAGGCAAACAAAGGGTGTTCCTCATTCCTTCCTACTCGACTTCTCGATCTATCTTCCGACGACAAGCAGATAAGACTAGTAGCTGGAGAGAAGAGAGTTTGTCATGAATACGCTACTCTCAGTCATCATTGGGGTGACTCTAACATTATTCGTCTTCGTATTGACAGCATGGCCCAATTTCAGGTGGGAATCGACATCGACGATCTTCCTCAAACTTTCAAAGATGCTGTCGAAGTTGCAAGAAAACTTGATATATTCTATCTGTGGATAGACGCTCTTTGCATCATCCAGGATGATCCATCAGACTGGCACACGGAATCTGCACTCATGGGAGAGGTCTATAGTAATGGCGTGTTAAACATAATGGCCACGGCTTCCCAGGATAGTCACCAGGGACTATACAGAGACAGAGACCCCCGGGAGCTGAATCACTGCAGCTTTAAAAGCTCCTGGACTGGAATAGAGGAGCAGCAGTTGACGGTCGTGGACTATAGTCTGTGGAGGGATTTAATTATGCGGGCACCATTGAACGAGCGCGGCTGGGTGGTCCAGGAAAGAGTACTGGCGCCGCGAACGTTGCATTTCGCGGAGAACCAACAAGCATGGGAATGCCACACCATGGAAGCCTGCGAAATGTACCCGGACCGCCTGCCAATGCGTCTTGAGAGTTTTCACAGCCGGGTCAAACTCATTGATGCTGACGCATACAAACAGTGGCTGACTTCCCGGAGGGAGTATGATCCCGCCACTCATGTTGGTTATGATGTTTGGGGCCGCATCATCGAAATCTATAGCGGGACCCAACTCACGAAGGAGGCGGATAGGCTGGTTGCCATTAGCGGCCTTGCTAAACGTATGCGCTTCATTCTCAAGGATGAATACCTTGCTGGCCTCTGGGCTAGGCACCTCCCGTATCAGTTGGCTTGGTACATTGCTTCGCAAGGTAGAGACGGAGGTAAAGGTCGTCGAGTTGAGAAATACCGAGCCCCTTCTTGGTCATGGGCATCTATCGAGGGTCAAGTGGGAATGATGACGGTAGAGCGTGCGGCAAATCCGGAAAGTCTCATCGAGATCGAGGAAGCGAAAACCACACCCTTCTCAAGTATCAACGATACAGCCGAAGTCATCAATGGATATATTCGTTTAACAGGCCAACCGTTCACAGCTGAGATACTTGGTCGTGATGAAGAGGCGGGGAGATCCGAGTTGAAGTTTCAAATTGATGGGAAGGTGGTTGGTGGTACAGTCCTCTCGGACGAGCCCATCATCGCGAAACACACATCAGTTGTTTGCCTCCCTGTGTATCGCGAAAACAGAGAAATAGGAGAATTTCTTTGCTCTTTGATTTTGAAACCTGCAGAGGGCCGTCCGCAAGGTTGGTATTCTCGGATCGGAGTGATGTACTGGCCCGACGGGGCTAGTGAAGGCATGGAGGCGTGGAGGGATGTCTCAAAACAACTAGAAGACCCAACACTCAGGGACAAGTTCCTCGGGCTTGAGAATTCCTTTGGAACTATTATTCTAATCTAGTTTCGTCGATCTACATATAAAAATCACAGGGTATCATTACCATTGTAAGATGTGATCGAACGTGCCGTAGAGTTTTTATGCACAGACTAAGTAATCAATGATTGAATAGTTATTTGATTTCGATCAAGTGTAAAAATGATGAGTGAGAGAGTTCTTTCATGTCAGGTTATCCGGGCTGTTCCCATCTTACGACGACACAAGGAGACGAGGAGGGGAGCGATGGGCCGGGATGTGTCCTACAATATTCATCCAGCGGATACAAATGCAAGGAAAAATGATCGGAACTGATTAGGTACGACGTGCGCGTGGGGGTATGTGAAGTAACAGTGAATAGGTTAACGCGAGACAAGGTATGATAGGATGTGTATAGATCGTGGGAGATGGATGGATGAACGGGCTAGCAAGCGAGCGTCAAAACTCCAAACGGGAAAAGTAGCCACAGGGGAACCACCAAAGGACAACGCCATATACAAAGACAAGAATGTAGATGCTCGGAAAGCCGAGGGAAAAGAGATGGTGTGCCGAGGAAAGCTGGATGAGATGCTTTAATTAGTATCAACTAAGCTCGCTCAAGTGTTTGATTGATACGTAGCTGCGCATTTAGATCGGTAGCTGGTTAGTACTATCCAATCTTGGTTACAATCGGTAAGGACTTGGGAGGCAGCCGGTCAGGAGGCAGCCAAGAGGCAGCCCAGAGGCAACCGACATGACGACAAAGGTGACGGCTCATTAAGGTATCTGAGTAAGCCCGCAACTGGAACTAAGTATTTATAAAGCATCTCAAACCCTTTGCTACCTTCATCTTCGCTAAAGGAGTGAGAAAGTTTGTTGTCAACACTACACATATTTCTTTGAACGACTGCTTTGTTTGTCTAGAGCCATGACACTCTCGTACTCCAAGTATGATAAATCGTCTTCAATTCCAATACTACGAACCTATCTGTACGCTCCCGGGGAGGATCCAAGTTGACCATATCACGACAGGGCTTTGTCTCCCATTCCTCAAGATCTCCGCCACACGACCCAAATCGACCATGAGAATTTTGGACGGTGCGCTCCGGCCTTAACAGCCACAGACTCAAGTCTCTCAGCGCGGTATATCAAGCGATTCATAACACGATGGTAGTATAGTGGTATTATCTGTCTATCTAATAACCGCCACTAACGATACTCATCTCCCGGTCCTTTCAGGCGATTTGCACACAATCTATCAAAAATATACTAAACTATTCAGCCTCGGGGAGCTTAAGACTACAAAAGAAAAGAAAACGAGGGCAAGGCACGCAACTCATTCGACCTGCCACAAGGATTGAAAGAGGAGAAGACATTCCAACGAGTCTACATGCAACATGGCCAAGCGTGTAGAAGCGCCGGGAAGGTCCCTATCCTAATGAACGAGGAAACAGGGTGGTGGGTAGATTGGAAGAGGTGCCGTGAACCCAACATGACGGCCACGTTGCGTGTGCTGATTTGGCTTGGTTGCTTGATTGGCTTGTTAGAGAATCGGTCAGTTGTTAGACCGTTTTTTCATCTTCGGGTTCGAGATCTAGTAATGGTTGATCTGGCAACATAATGGCTCTGTCTAGAGCGTACGGAAGACCGCGGTGGCGCCCGCGGACCATCATGGCGCAAATAACTAGCTTGCTGAAAATGGTGAATTTACCAGAAAGCGAGGTCGCCACGGTTGGGTGGCCGAGGCTCAACCCGACATTTCCGCTAAAGAGACAGTTAGTGTATTTGCAAGCGGGCTTGGGATGAAATCAAGCGGAAATATAAAGCAATCAGATGGAGGCATCATGTATGTGCTTTCGGAGTGTATGACTGGGAGCTGAGAAGCTGTACAGAGACTCAATTCGCGGGGTGGGCGAGGACAGAGATGGGAGAGGATAAAATGGAAAAGGAGGGAAGACATACTAGGCAGATGTGACCTCGAAGAAGACGGTCCAGACACTGAATGCCTACATAAGATTAGCACCTCGACCTGGCTATGGGATGGTGGAGGACGGCTCACTGGTTCACCTGTATCTGCGATCTTTCCGGCCTCAGCAATACAGATGCAGAAAATCCCCAGGAAAATATACCAGAGATCGAAATTGAGCTGATTTTGCATATGCTTCATTAGGTATGAGCGGCCATGAACCTCGTCCAGATGACCTTCTTGTTCCCAGATGCCGAGCGATTTCTCCTCATATGTGTTAGATGCACGGATGCTGAGTGCGATTGGGAAGATGGCAATGTACATCATAACCATTAGGCTAAATTGCACAGCAGGGTTAACGTTGGCTAGATTGAAGGTTGAGGTACCGGTGTGGCGAGAAGAGGCAGCTTGAAAAATGGCAGCGAAGAGACGCTGGCCTGCTGGTAGGGCCGCAACCTCGGGGTTATTCAGATCGAGGATAATGATAAGTAGCGTATCAACGAAATTCAGAGCGAATATGATACCAAACAGGATCCAGGTAGGTCGACTTGGGAAGAGAAGAGTGTAACATCGGCGGGGGTGGTTGAGGAGGAACGACAGCGGCTCTTGCATTTGTGATGTCCTCGGCACGATCTTGGACATAGTCCAGATTACGAGGCGTAGGAACACCGGATAGAGAGTATTTCCGGCGAAGGCAAGGAAGCTGAAGACAATCATAGGCCAGATTGCATCTCGGAATGATATCATGGAATCAGGTGTTAGGGTAAATCCCAAATTATCTACCATGGTCTGAGCAGAATAAAAGGCCCTAGAAACGCGAATGTGGTCAGCTCAAACAACGAACAAGCCTTGTTGTTTGCGTCTATATATATTTTGCCCCCCTCCTTAATTGCTGTGACTGGTGGATGATATGATACGTACCACCAGTTCATATTTGAGCCGGTTGAGGCGAGGTACTCCTTGTACTTGGGATCGGCATATTGAATCCAACCCACAATACAGATGGCACCGAAGAGGTGAAGACCAAAGAAGTAACCTGATATAAGAATTTATTTGTGAGTACTTGATTGCATGTCGTACTTGGGCCATGGAGGAGGACAAATCAGGAAGAAACTAACCGACGACGATCTTTAATAGTAGCTTGAGGCTACGATACTCAGTACCGCCAAGCTTCTCCCAGTCGCTCCTGGTCATGTTGGTGAATTCAGAGTTGCGACCGATGGTGGCGAAGTGCGAGAGACCAAGGGTTTCATCGCGGACCTGTGTCGAATGGCGCCTTTCTCGGTGATGAGTCGAGTCAGCATCAAGAATCAGCATGGACTTGGCAATATGGGCAACCCCTGTGACGCTTTCTCTAGACATGGAGCGGCGTCGTTCTCGGGACAAGGAGCGGGGCGAGGCGGCGCTTGAGAGCCGCTTGCGAAGGTCGTGGATGGATGGGTTTGGATGGAAAGTCCCATTCACAACAGAGATCTCTAAGGAGTGATGTGAGCAAACGCTATAGATTTCACGCTGAAAAAGGTGTATCCTCACCGTTGTCGCTCTCTGTGGGATGGCGAGACAACTCAGTCAAAGATTTTCCTTGGTCCCGTTCTCGGGGTGACGGGATGTGCAGCACAGTATCGTCTCTAATGGGCTTGGAGGAGTCGTCAATCGTAATGTGTGGCCCGGAAGCATCTTTTGTAGGCTTGGAGGGTTCTTCGAATTCAGTGTGTGAAGTGTCATCTCTACCAGGCTGCCCTTGAGGTTTATCCGCTTCCGTTGCGGCAATATCCTCGCTGACGATATCTTGGCCCTGGGAGATGTTTTTTATGTGACCCAGGCCTTGTAGAGGCGTGTCAGCGCCACGATATCGCTTTAACAATTGAGGGGCTTAGGAAACATGTTAGCTGGGTGTGCCGGCATCAGCGAGGGCGAAGACTCGAGCTCACCAGCCTTTTTGAGGTACTTTCGGAACCAAATGAGACGGACAAGGACCACCAAGGAGTTAATGAAACCGAGATTAGTGAACATTGGGATGAAGTAGAGGTAGAGCTGCTGATAGAGTTGGAGATCTTTGACGTCCACCCTGATAACGGTAAGCATCTGTGTGTAGTAATTCCTCGGCTCAGTTGATGTGAATGGGGACAGGGCTTACGTGTTTAGACCAGACTCTGTCGAGGCGCTGGCGCCAAAGAAGTAGGCATCGATGGCTTCAAGGTTACCGCCTGGGAGAAGCACGGGAATGGCCAGGAGGCCCATGAAGATGATGTACGCATCTAGAGGCGCAGATGGTCAATAACGTGTCTGTATAGACGCTGCTGGTTGCATGAGGCTCACAGTGAAGCGTGAGAAAATTGATGGGGAGCCATTTCGGTATCGCCATGCTAGATCAGAAATAATTGGCAGGTCGGATGCCAGCTGTGCAGGTTGGGTCTATGGATGATGTGACAGTAGGAATGTATTTTGCTTTTGGAAGGGACAGAGTCAGGATGAATGCAATGCAATGAAATTAAAAATAAAAATGCAAAAGTAATAGGTGTCTATGCACCGTGAAGCGGATGGAACGGTGGCGAGGGATAGCAGCCGAGAAGGAGAGAGGGCTAAGAAGAATAACAAAGGGAACGTGCTAATGATGTAAACCGACGCCCGCAAGCAGGTCATATGCTCAGGAAGATGCGGCTACGCCACTGGAGGCCTCTACTTTTATTGGACATCCGGGCTCAAGGAATTACGCCTCGTTCGACTCCTCGTAGTCACCAAATCCCATGGACGCATACTGCCAAGTTCTCGGAGCCCACTCCGTTAATAATGTCTCACTCCCATGCGTTCTAGGCGAGTCTTCTTTTCCCATGATGGGGCGTGTTCTCACACAAGTTTCCACACCAAGCTGAGCGCTGAATGGAATCAAATCCCAAAGATACCTAAGCCACCTACAGTAACCCAAGCAACTTGCTAGCGTTTGGAAGGCAGTGCCACCCCCCAGAGCAGTTGAGAACAGTCAAGGATGGAAAATGCCTCACACCAAGTCAGAAGACAAAGCGGGCAAGGTCACAATGCCAGCATACACGCCCATCCCACTGGTGCAGATTCTGTATAATCTGTTCGTCGAGGAAGGGGAAACTATCAGGAGCACAACCGATCAAAGCGGAGCCCCTTGAAACGACTGACCAAACAAACGGCCCGCGTCCGGAACAACAAATATCTCTTCCGGCTGCTTGTCTTTTGATTGGATCTTCATTTCAGGAGCCCATCCTCATTCAGCATTTTTGATCCACCCCATCGACGTAAGATGATCCACTCTGCTGAACCTGTCGGAGGAAAAAATAGCCCACGGGATGGCCCTCGGCGCTTCTGCCGTTGACTTGCTTCCCACCCTGGTCAACCGAACACCTTTCTCACCTCCTTATTTAACCTAAAACCTTTTACGAAACCTTTAAAATAAGCCTAGATTTCTTAAAATTTAATCTTCCTTCTTTCCTACAAGACAGTAAAGGCCTAGATTGCAAAGCCTTTACAAAGGTCTAGCCGCAACCAGGCTGATGCCGTAATTGGCTTCGGAGAACAGGCCAGTTGGCGGCCGATGGGTATTCGTAGGACTTGAAGCCTAGAATCACGACGTCTGCACTATGGTGTCTAGTAACATGATTTGACATGATGGGTTGAATATCATGCTATCAACTGGTGTTGTTCATTCCATCTACAAAACGATCGAATTGCGACTTGGCTAAAACCAAACAAGAATTGCCATTCTAATACCGTGTTATAGGCTCATAAATTATTTTTACAGCCATGATCATTACTCTAGAATGTGGTCAAAAGAAACATAGATTATCAAATAGTGTTATAGTAGTAACATAGCACCACCATCAATTGACCTTTCAATATTTCCGATGATCGGAATTGATTTATCTTGAAACAATAAAGCAAGAAAAATAAATTAGTGAGGGCATTCTCCTGTGGTAAGCTTATTGAGCTCATACCCTTAAACTCCCAATAAACCCCTCAAAGCCATCATGTTCACGACAGATGGCAACTATTTAAATCCAATGCGCTAATCCAGGCCGGATACACGCTGCACTTCCAAATAGAATTCTCGCTCTGTCGGAGAAAGAGACAGGTCCAAACGAAAGTTCTCGTCAGGAAAACTGCAGGTAATCTAGCCACACATCTAGGCCTGGAGCAGTGAATGGGAATCGCATGCCCCAGGAGCGAGGGGTTGCCGACTCTCCAGGAGCTTTTTGTCACCATGTCTAAAGGTCATTCCAAGATGTCGTGATCTCAAAGGCCTTGGACAGCACGTGTAGAAATCCGCAAGCTTCGTCATGCAATCATCCAAGAACTGATCTTGAGGAGATTTTGACCTCCTCGTCCTGTGGGCTTCAGAGAATGCACTCCACGGGACTCTGATCTCGTCTCCATACACTTCCGAGCGACGACATCGTATCTTTGCGTCGTGAAAGTGCCCAGCATGCCAGGGTATAGCCCGCGCCGTCAGCTTAAACTTTGGCGGCCCAGTCCCGGACGTTTGCGTATGAGAGTTTAAGGAAAGGCACAGAGTGTGATAGATTTCTGACCAATGCATAGTCGTGTCATGTGTTAATTGATTTGCTGGGACGGTGAAAAAAAGAGACGCGACGTGCAATTCGATGCAGCCTGAACAGTGCACAGGGTTCAAACGGGCTAGGTCATTTTCGTTTTCTCAGCACGTTTGATATCGCGTCGTGGCAGAGTATGTGCGCCCTGATTCTTCATGAGCTCGCATCGGACAGCTCGTAATTGTTCTCAAAGCTGTTATCCCGAGTATGAGGCTCATGGTGTCCATTGCCTCGTCTTTCCTCGCGAAGGATTAGCTGTCGAGCCCGTCTAGTTGTAAACCACGGGCGGGGAGTAAATGGCGTGATGCCAGTCGCGTCGATCCATGATTCATCTTCGGGTGGTATAGCTCTGGCGCTCGAGAGCGCATCATAGCCCCCAGGAGAAGTCACTTCCCATTGAACGTCAACAAACGGATCCCAAAAATACAAGGGCCACCCGGGCTCCCACTCGACAGCTTGATAATGATTTTCAAGGAGGTCGTCAACCACAATGCTACCTTTAGGAGGCGATGCTGGTTCTGATTCGGATTCAATGTTGATATTGGGTAGAGGGTCTGACTCTGAATCAAAGAGAGAGTCAAAGTCAGCTTCATCGGTTCTGAAGGTTCTTGCATCGGATCCCAGTCTGAATCGCCCCAAGCCTGTGTGATAGGACTATCGACCGGAGAAGGGCCCATTTCGATATCTGTGTTGAGTGCAGAAGAGTCACCATGGTCCGATGATAGGTCGAATGCGATCAAGGGTGGACCCAGATCCAGGGTTGAGACGCTGTCACTCAAAGACCTATCAGATGGTTGAAGATAGCCTTCCATCATTAATATCGCCCGATACCGACGCAAAGATTTGTTGATATGTGAAGAAATTCGCGGGCAAGAAAATAATTTGATGTGCAAGAGTGCCTAACAAAGTGGGTGATGGAGAAGTGAGAGGAGATTTGGAGGAAACAAGAAGGTGTTTAAGTACATGCACTGGACTGTGATTTACTGATTTTTCAAGAAGTAAAAGGTCTTTCAGCTCCATGAACTACCCAGTGGCTTTGTCTTTTACATGGACTTGACGAGCAAGCTTCTCATAGCATAAACCGGGCAATTCTTCAATCTCACTTTAAAAAGGCCAACAACTTGACAAACCTTTTACTCAGCACCAAGAGGCAATTTTCATTGTTATAAAAAAATCTCTTGCACAATATCTGAATTAAATAAAGAACAGTCCCGCCACGATGTTGGATCATGAACTCATCTTGCTGCTACTTGTTTATGTATGATCATGAATCGGGAACCGAATAGTAGTGCTAACCGCGTTAGGGCAAGTGGGGATGAACTGGTAAATTTACTTTAGCTTGTTAGTGAAGCACAAAGACTTGACCATACTTTGCCACAAAACAAGTGTATTCTTTAACTGAGCAAAGTATTGTCCCCACATACTTACCACGGTGAATAACAACTGTGATTGGAATGATCAAACTGAAGGATGAGATGAGTGGGCTTTTGTGCGGGGACAGATCCAATTTGAATGACGTTCTCTTGTTTTTCATCAATAATTACGGTTCAAGATTCAACCAACTTCATTGAATCGCTCTTAGCAAGGCCCAACTCAGTTTTCACCAGCGGCTGAATAATGCCTCTATTTTGGATCTGAAATGGTTACCAGCGTAATATCTGCCAGCCACTTGGTCCCGAAGCCCGCACAATCCGGAGGCGAAGAATCAAACCCACAGGCCGAGGACGAGCAATCACCTGAGAACGACTCTGACGCCACTCACACGACAATATGCCTCACCATCTTCATATTCCGCGGCGAGCCAGACATGTACTTCAAACGCCATGTCATTCTGTATTTTACGTCGCCAGAACTTCCCGACTTCTGCGAGACGGTACACATCCAGCGCGTCGGTGAGACGGGCCCGTGGATGGTGGATCGAGCACGCGGAGCGATAGACTGGGCTCTCGAGGCCAACTACTGCGCTCACGTAAATGCCGGTGCCGTCGTGGTAAATAGGGGCGAGGAGATGGTGCCGGTCGCTGTGACTGCGGGAGTTCCCGTCCAAAGCCGGCTAAATATGAGCTGGAACTGCCAGAACTTTGTGCTCGAGGGCTTGCAGGCCCTAGTCGACGAGGGGTTCCAGACGCAAGAATGGTATACTGCGGTCGAGGATGAACTCGTGGAGCGATTGATGGATGGTACTGTTGGGTAAAAATTCTTACGGTTATGAGCTAGGGGAGGCATGAAGGATGCCCTCAGTGGTGTATGTTTACCGGCGTTTTTGGTTATCATTACCAGCCACCCAGGCTGGTCAAGAAAGCTATCACTAACAGGGCGCGCATAACACCTTTCTATTAAGGAGCAAAATATAGAGATTAATAAAAGTTCTATATAGGAAGAAGTTTAGAGTGGTCGATGGCCACCGTGGTGAGAGTTGATCAAGGCGGTGCGGGGAGCCAAGCCTCACTGAGGCGAATCTTGTAATATGTACTTATTTAGTATGTGCGTACTCCGTAGTATACTTGTCATTGCCATCATATCCTGGGCATTTTTGGAGCGTAATCTGACATGACACGGTCATACTAGAGCAGATCAAGGGCAAGGCACTCCCACCAGCCAAGTCTGCCTGCTTACGGGCCCTTGTCTGTGCGGCAGCAAGCACTGGAGTCGAGTCAAATGATTCTCTCCAGGGTTATAATCTAGCTATAGAGAAACCATCTGAGGGACATCTGGGGGATATTTTCCAAATTTGTGAACCTACGCACGACATATGGTTGTCCCAGAGGATCGTAGGTATGCATAGCCCTGGTTGCATTTCCATGTTTATGGTGAGACGCACCCAAAGATCACTTCTACCGTATTCGTGGTCAGACCGCAATCTGGAGCGTATTTCAGAGCGTATCCCAAAGCGTATGCTTAGAAGAGATTGTGAAAGCTTCACGCGCTGTCCGCCATCTAAACACACGAGACCCTTTGAAAGTAGAGCAAAAGGCTAATGTAATGGTTCATATATTTCTTTGCATATAAGAATGCCATAGGCCCAGTTTCACTGTGTCGTGGAGAAATCTGTACCAACAACGAAATCATTATCTCTCGCATTTTCTAAGATGCATCTGTCTTATCTTTTGTTAGCAATAGTTGCTGCGCTGCGCACTTCTACTGCTGCAGACACTCCCGAATGTAACGCAACATGCCGGGGAAGAATTGCATCTGACTGGGAGAAGGAACAGCACGCATCGGCCGACTTTGAGTTTTACAATGTCCCTTCGAACTTCTCTTCCAGCCTGGCCCCTGGGACTCTTCTTCGAGTTGAGAAAGTCACCAATCAATCTCTGTACAGTGTTCCATACGGCCTCACTCTTTCGCGTATCATGTATACAACGACCAACCTGAACGGGACCGTCATTCCAACTAGTGGTTATGTTCTCTGGCCTTACTATCCTGCAGGCTCTCAGAACAGCACTGAGGGTCATAATATGGTGGCTTGGGCTCACGGAACATCTGGTAGTTTCAAAAATTGCGCCCCCAGCAATTATCGAAACTTGCAATATCATTTCATGGTGCCTTTTCTCCTTGCTCTCCAGGGAAATATTGTTGTTGCCCCAGATTACGCCGGCCTCGGCGTTGACACTCTTCCTTCTGGTGAGCATATCGCGCATCCTTGGGCAGCAGGCCCTGCACAGGCCAATGACCTCGCCAATGCCATCATCGCTGCTCGCAAAGCATTCCCTGAGTACCTGAAGCCGTCTGGTTCATTTGTTGCCATGGGCCATTCGCAAGGAGCAGAGACGGCTTGGGGGTTTGCTGAGCGGTTGGTCAAACAACCCATTGAGGGATACAAAGGAACTGCTCTCATTGCCCCCCCTACCAATGTCGTCAGACATATCGAGCTCGCACTTGAGAGCCCTACGGAACTATGGGCCCTTGCTCTTCTCTCTGGCCAGCCGAAGATCATCTCTTCTGTTACCGCAACATACCCAGCCTATAACTACTCGGGGCTGAGCCCGGCGGCGTATGAACGTTGGGTCAACATCTTGAAGCCACTATCTGGGTGTTTCCCCACAGACAGTTATATATTCAGCGACCTGAAACCTGGCGAGCTTGCGCAAGATGGCTGGACGAAGGATGAAACTGTTCAAAAGTATGCGGCTGCGATTGACATCGGACGCAAAAGGTTCAAGGGGCCGCTCTTTATTGCTGCCGGAACTGCGGACTTGGCTGTACCTATCCACATTGTGAATTCCGTAGTGGATGATACATGCGCCATGCTAAAGCAAGAAAACTGGGATGAGTCGCTGGAGATTATTACATATGCGGACATGAGTCACTTTTCGATTATACAAGCCAGCCAGTTGCAGTGGCTGCGGTGGGTTAAGGACCGCTTGTCCCCAGCATCCAAGCCTCTCCGTCGTGGTTGCGTAAAGAAGGAGATGGGCGGTTTCCTGATTGACCAGCCGATCAAGCAGGCGTTTCCCAACTTTTTGCAAGGGTGGGCAAGCCCTGATGAGGGTTGGAAGTATTCTCTTTAACTTCAAGTATACATCAACCTGGACTGTCTCCTGGATAGTCACAGAACATACGGGTGGGTGAGGAGGGCAAAGACGTGATTTTCCTGACTTCCAAATATATATCACCAAAATTCTGAGGTTTTCTACAATTTGCAAAGGTAGTCAGTGATGAGCCGAAGCAAACTGTATGGCGTTGCTTTATCTCTTCTTAGTCAATAGTCCTGTCTGAAATTCAAGTTTATTGTGCCACCAGCCATATAGGCCGCAGTTTTGCTGAACTTCTTCTCATAAAGCTACTCAAGCTATTGCAATTCTTAAATTAGAATGCAAGACTGTCAGTTGTTTTTCGGGAAATTAATCTCGTCCTCCTGCTAACCACTGATGGTGACCTTAGCTGCTGCTGTTTCCATGCCGGCTGTCTCGTGTGAGTCTTCTGCGCCAACCAGTCCGCAATACCATCCCCATAGTACCCATAGAGCAATGCCACAAACAGCACGACTGTGGTCACCGGGACGCTTGTTGTCCAGAATATACTCTGACTCCGCTCCATATCCCTGATATCCGCCGTATTCATTCCCATAAAGCTGGACACAAACGAAAGAGGGAGAAAGAAGAGGGTAACAATGGTGAACACTCTGATAGCTTTACCATGATCTTCCTCTATGATCTCGATCATCTGCTTCACTCGCTCTTTCAGGTAAGCTAGCTTATCAGTCAAGTCTTTAGTATCCTGAATTCTGGTGTACAGCTTGCGTTGTTGCCTGCGAGCTAATGCCTTTTCTGTTTTGAAGATGCCGACTCTTGTTTTAGTTGTCATGCGAAATGACCTCGGCGACAAGAGCTTGAGATAGTTTCCTAACAGCCTGGATTGAGCTTGATGAACCATACTAACAGCGCTAAGCTCCTCTTGCACGACATCGATATCAAGGAATAGCCGTCTCTGGGGACGTTTGCTTGCTTGGAAGCGTAGTTGGGCGATATAAGTTCGGTATAGGTAGATGTAGTCTGTCGTGTTCCTGGATGAAACTAGTTCTTCTGGTATGACCCTGCGGTTCTGGGCATTCGCAACCAGGGACATTATCAGGAACTCTGCACCTACAGCCTCGACACCGAGACTGTGTATATCACGAGTTGTGCTCCCCAGGAGAACAATATCCTTCTTTGCATCTTGAAGAAGATTTCTCACCTTGATGTTCACTTCCTCCACATACATCTCCAATTCTTGTTGCTTTTCCATCAGCAAGCTTAGTCGGAGCTCCTTCCCTTGAATACTAACTGCGCTGTGGATCCTATTCAGCAATGATAGTTCTTGAGCCTGCAGGAGATATAAGGTCAAGAGCTGTGTAAAGGCCTTGACGAGGCTGGTTGGTAGTGGAGGTCTCTTTGATTTCCTTGTTCCCCAGGCGTTTGCCACAAGGCTGTGTAGCTCACTGATTTGTTCCTTTAGGTGCAGGAGTGACTCCTTGAACTCCGCCGTCTTCTTGAGAATCTTCTTTCGTGGCTTTGGGACTTGGCCCGAGGGGCCCCAGACGCTCTGGATCCAAACGTAGCAAGGATCGTCCCATGGCCGTTTGGTTGCGGACGAGCATTCACGATGGGAATGAAGATGGCTCAGAGCGTCTGAAGCAGTTGTGTATGTTGCATTATTGCGGCACTCGGGGCAGTCCACCCAGGAATGTACCAACTGGGAGTTTGCTTTCTTCTTCCCAATTTTTGCCACATCGTAGTCTTTGATTGTAAAGTATTGCTGGCCGGCGTATGTCACATCATTTGCTTCCCATAATAGTTGCTGCTCACAGTGGTTAATTCTGTGCAGACATCAGGGGTTGGCGGCAACTTACTCGACAAATACAGTCCACCGCGCCCCAAAAGTGTACATATATGTGATGACTCAAGAGACTACCTTCCTTTGGTACAAAGGCGGTCAGTATCTGCTGAGATATATCATACAGCTCCTTCATCATCACTAGCTCAGGTCTGACAACATTGAGTTCTTGCGCGTTTGGGAGTCGAGGTATGACCTCCTCGTCACCCTCGGTTCCTAATGGTTTCCCAGCTTGGTGGCCATTCAACGAGGCGCTATCAACATCACGCGCACCAAGCTCGCTATTGTGGTCACCTTGTTTGAAGATAGGACCCTGGTCCGAGACTGAAGAGCGTTTTACCTCAGCTTCAGCATCCACAAGCAAGACTTTGTGTCGTCGATTCAAGTCTTGCAAAGTACACCGGAATGCCTTCACATAAAGCCGTGAAATCTCACCTGAACGTAGCTTCCTGTTCACGGAAGTTAATATTCCTATCAAGTTCTTTTCGATATCTTTAGCATCTCGATGGTCCGTGTCGTTCTTGAGTGGCCATTCCAAGAACGGGACAGCCACAACGTCTGGTGATCCCCCGGGCCTCTTTTCGGTAGACGGCTGCTGGTGAGGACCTTCGCTGCGGAGCATTCTTACTAGAGTATTCGATGGTGCAGAGCTGCGTGCTCCATCCTGGGAATCATGAAATTGTACAGTTTTGCTACGCTTGGCGCCATTCAGTCCTTGGATATGCTCGCCACCGATGCCGTCGTAAGACCCCCGTCGCGGATTGGAGCGGTATCCTTTCTGAGCAGGCTCAAATGCTACATGTGAGCTTCCGCGGCCGGTTGTATCAGTCTCGGATGTAGTATAAGTGTCTGAATCAGAGTTGCGGCCCCGGCGTCTTGATAACCTTGATGACAGAGAAGCTCTCGTTGAGTTGTCATTCTAAGAAACATTAGCAAGTCGGAGGAAAATAGAATAGACCAGCAGAGGGACTTGCATCTGAGGAGTCAGGGCTGGAGTTAGTGATAGACGTTTCATTGTCGGACAGATTCTTTAGGGTAAAGATCGAAGTGCCCCTGTCCCTTTGATATAAATATTCATTCGTGACCTTTTCTGACTTGGCTACCTTGTCTGTCCATTTGATAGTATGATCACGGAGTCTTGACGGTTTGTCGTAGTACCTCCCAGATGCATAACGGTCGCTTCGGTTATCCCGACCATAATGTGAGCCATCATTTCCATACCTTGATGGACCATGCAACTCTGCTCTTCTGCGGGCTCGAGATATAACCCGGATTTCTGCTCCCCCGTCGGTCTTGGGCCTCGGGCCTGTGTATAATGTAACTGCCTTATTACTGACAGAGCCGAATCCTGTACTGCGGCGTCGGAGCAGGCCAGGGTAAGAATCTATACGAGAGAAAGAGGTTGTTTCCTTCGATGGGTTCACTTCTTGCGCACTCAGGTCTTCGCCTTGGGTTGAAACCCGGGGGATAGACGCCTGGTTGTAAAGGACTACAGGCCAGTTCTTCTTTTCAGGTGATTGTTTCGATGTTTCTTCCATCGTAAGTTCAGTATGGTCAACATCCTGGGCGGCAGCGGCAGTCAAGCCTGACTCCTCTTTGTAAATAGGCATTGTGGCTGGATCTGAAAGCTTCTTGTCCTCTGCCATAGTTGGGCTATCTTTCGTGCTGGTCTGTTGGGACTCATTATCTTTGCCCGAAAATGAATTCCTTGGCGGAACTTGATCGTCTACCGATGAATGAGCGTGGTCATCTGAGGGCGCTAACTCCAGCCCGTCATTTCCAGTATTGCTATGGTCTAGACGAATCTTAGACTGAGTCTGCGATTCCCCAGGCTTCTCATCGGAGCTGGAACCAGAGGAAGCAGATGGACTTAATGATCTTGCGGTTATCTCTGGGTACGACTTTGCAACTTGAACATAACGGACAGTGGGCGATATTCTTCGTCTGCGACCTCTTGATAGGCTACGAGCGTAAGAGCGGCGAGGACTAGGCAAGTAGGAGCGGCGAGACCAGTCATTCTTTGATTGTCTCTGCCTTCGAACATAATCGGGCACGAGGTCCCTATCTTCTGACCGACCAGAAAAGAAACTAGGCTTCCGCATAGTGGATGGAGACATAGGTTGCGCTGGCAGGCTATCTCTCCCAACATACTCTCCTCGGCGAATTGTCACCAGCCGCTCTTCATCTCGATAGTAGCTCCTTCGGCTCACGGCTCTGCTCTCTCGACTTGCTCTAGCGGCATCTTGAGCATCTGACTTGCGAGAGGCTCTAGTCTCAGCCCCTTTCTCTCTGAAATAGAAAGTGAGCATATTTGTGTCAAATGACGAGACAAGCCTGAGCCACTCCCCTGGCGTTAAAACTCCATCGTCCGGATTCAAGAGCTCGTAATCAAAGGCGTCGTAAGTGCTCCCTCTAACCAGCGATACACAATGCTGTAGGAGGTCCACATAGGTGTAGTCCAGGTCCACAACGCTGTTATAGCGTCGACTTGCCTCGTCATAAAGACATATGGATATCAACCCCCTATCGAAAACGGGCCGTATGTCCACAGCTATGCCGTTTCCTTGTAGCTCCGGCCTCGTCATATCTGACATGGTGACCAACACGTCTGATCCGATTAGCAGATACCAGACTTGATTCACATGAAGATGCTCCTTTGTTTTCCCACCGGCCATCTTCTGCACGATCTGCTTCGTAGTACCATCATCTAGATCATACCCGTACAGGTATTGGAGAAGGCTTCTGGGGCCATACCCTTCTTTGGGGCCTGTTTTAGCTGCCGGCTGTCGGAAGTCGATGTGTGGAGATGACAGGAAGTAAGCGGTTTCGCACTCCAGGGACTGCTCTTTGTTGCCGGCGTGTTTCATATACTTGCCAACACATCTGAGAACGGTCCCAGGTTCAATATAAGCTCCACTTTCCGACATCTTGCTATGTCGCCTTTCAACATCGTCCAGCAGCGTCACTGCCACGGCGGTGAGTTCATTGGAAATATGCGGGCAATTCAGAACAAGCCTCTGTCACTTATCAGTACCGCGCGAAATTGCATGAGTTAGAGATGCATCTTACACGCAGAACCTGAAACACTAAGAGGTTTCGCTGGATATGCCTTGACGGTGATGTTAAAATTCAATTTCAGATGTTCGGGGCTAGTAATGTTCAACTTACAACCAACGCAGTTGCACTGTTGCAGAGTCTGAGTCTTTCATTGGACCTCCAGGGCAGATGAGCGTCGTCTTCCCAAGGCCATCATCGTCCGCGCTGTATTCCAATGCCTGTATATTCAGGAGCTCACAGGTGGATCCAGTATCGGGCAGAGATGTTGTCGGCTGGTTCCAAGCCAGTGCTTCCGCACTCTTTGGGTTGTGAATAGTTTTTGTCCTCGGCGCTCCCGGCTCCTCTTCATACCGCTTTAGTTCCAGAGAGATTGAAAGTCCCTTCCTCTCAACCTTCTTGAACGTAAATGTTTTTGAGTTGCCGCCTATGGGACCTTGGTCGGAATCGTCGGTTTCATTTGAGGACCCATCGCTGCTTTGGTAGACGTTGTTATTGATGATTATAGGTGGCGTTTCCATAGAAGAAAACCCTTGTCGGACGTCAGAACGCCGACGGCTTGGTTTAAACCCATTCCTGCGAGAATGCTCACTGGCGGCATCGTCTTGATCTGAAGATGAATTGGCATTATACCGCCTGTTGTTGATGATGATGGGTGGCGGAACATAGCCTCCGAGGGGGCCACGATGTCGTGTTCGAGATCTATGCCCTGATCGTGGCCTATATTTGATAGAATAATCGCTAAAGTCTCCTTCTTCCTCTGAAGATTGATTGACGTTATACCGCCTGCTGTTAATGGTGATAGGTGGCGAGATAGAGCCTCCTAGTCGGTCACGACGTCTTGACTGACCAGCATTTCTTTCTCGAAAACGATACCTGGATCGAGACCGAGATCTTGGACCAGACTGGTATCCAGCGTCAACTCGAATTGGACTCCTGCGTACATATTTATCCACAGAGGACGTAGCGGGCGAATACTGCCTATTTCGGGTTTCAGTGTAGTTTCTTGTGGCCGGTGGAGTCCAGCGGCGAGTTCGTCGACGGTGGTATTCATCCGAGTCGCTTTCGCTGAGCCGCGCTCTTCTAAGGTAACGAGCCCGCTGTCGAAGTATGTGAGGCGAATCCTGAGGCCTGCGAATGGGTCGTTCCTCGTAATGACCGCCCCCGAAAGACTGTTGTACATGCTCTTTATCAGTCCTCGGAACGGCTCTCTCTTCAGCCTCATCACTATTGTGGTACACTGGCGTTCTCCTCACACCACGCGATTCACCAATGATCGGAAAGGGTCTTTCCAGGGGATCTGTTCCCTTCCAGACTGAATCCTTCGGCTCCTCAGCCTCAAAGTGTCGAATAACTGGTGAGTTTCGGCCATCCGATCCTTCGGTACTTGAAGCTCTGTTGGGGATCGGTCTGCGCTGTAAAATCTCATCCTCATCGCGGGGCTCATGGCTGCTGCTACTTGAGGGAGATCCTGGTCGCCTCTCCACTTTCTCTTCATCATCTGACGCTAACGCATCCTCGACGTAGGTCTGGTACCTTGAGGTAAGTTGCGGCATCGGTCAGGTGTTTGTTGTAGAGCGCGTTGAATAACCCACCAGGAACGCGAGGGCTCTTCAGCCCTTTATTAATAAGGGTCTGTTCAGCCTTTCAGAAGTTCCATTTGCTTACTACGGATCCACATATCGCAACAATATTGCCTCATGTATGCAGACAAATGCATGTGCAGGGATTCTTCAGCATCAGCACAACGCATCCACTATTTCAGTTCGCGATCACGAAATGCTACACGAATCCGACGCATCGAAGGCTGGCTAGGTAAAGGATCTGTTATGGAGGCAGCTTAGTTACTGCCTGTTTTTCGTCCTTTTCGTGTCACAAAATGAGGGACAAAAGACCATTCATATCGCTACTATGCACTTGGGTCTTATATTGGATATTAGGGTATTATTTAATGCTAGCACAATGGACTTGGCCGTCGGAGAATTTCACTTGCAATTCGACCATGTAGCTTTCTTCTCACTCATAATCTAGCGCATTATAGGCTGCTGTTGGCAAAGACTGCGAGCCGCGTACAGAGGACAACATTAGATACATGACTAGTAGATCTGAGGCCACGACTAAACGGAAAGTTGCTTGCAAAGTAGACGTGAAAGAGTAAATTATGAGTTGTAGTCCTTGTTTCAAGATGACATGTTACTTGAATTAGCCGTACAGCGTCATCAGATCGGTGATACTGGTGCCGTTCCGATATCTTGAAGGACTATGTCATCGACAGCAAAGTCAAGAGTGACGAGGTCCTCGCCCGAGCATCTGACCCTAAAAGTCAAGACAAAGTCTTCTGAATCAGCGATGAAGTCAGTGCCATAGCTGGAATAAGATCCCGCAGGGATGGTTTGGATTGGCCAAGATCCTTTCTGTTCACCATTTGCCAAGGCTTGGATCTGGCAGGTCGCGTCTCCGAGGTCAGTGAGACCAAAAACGGCTCCCGAGAAAGATAGTCGGTACAGTCTGGAGGTGTCAAGACCGTTGATCGTCTGGTTCAGATGATTTCCTCCGGCACCAGAGTCATTCTCAAGGTAGAATCGACTGCTCCTGTTAGTATTTGGCCCTAAGCGAGTGTGGTTCAACATGTGTATACATACGCGTAGTGAGATCCAGAGGCAGCTTTAGCGGCGTCGTCCTCAATAGTCACAGTTCTAAGAGCCCAGACCGAGAGATCCTCGCCTTCGAAATTTCCATTGTGAATCAGGTTCACCGGGGTTGGTTCAGGGATGGGTGTAGATGTGGGAGTAGGAGTTGAGGATGGCGTCTCTGAGACAGACGGTGTGCTGCTGACGCTGGTGGGAGTAGTCGTCGACTCTACGGGAGTTGACAAATCAGTCGATACGGGGGTCGAAAGCGAAACTGACACGTCCGATGATGCAGGTGTAGAGATTGGAGTCGAGACATCTGACGATACAGGTGTAGAGATTGGAGTCGAGATATCCGATGAAATGGGTGTAGAAACTGGCGTCGAGACATCCGAAGATACGGGTGTTGAGATTGGTGTTGACACGGAACTTATGGATGAGACAGGCAGTGTCGGGGAAAGAGTGGCAGACGGAGTCGTCGTGGATCGGGTCTTACAGGGGCGAGCATCAGCTGCTGGGGCAAGCAGCACAGCGCCCAAGACGGCACAGAGAGAGACCCAGCGCATTTTAAAAGCAGGCAAACGAGTGTAGTGAAACGAGTGAATGAATACCTTAGTCAATGAATGAACGAGCGAATGGAGAAGAGAAAAAAAAGAGAAAAAGACGGGAGCGAGACTAGTAAAAACCAGCCGCTCTAGCAGAGATCGATAGTCTGTCCAGCCATTAGCGATAACAGCAAGCACATCATCGTGATCTCTGGGGCCAATATTGGGGATCGGCAGGTCCAGCGCTGCCTCATCTGGTTTAGGAATCAACAGAAGCAAAGGCTAGACGCAATGTCCCCACATTAGTTTAATGAGGGGAAAAGGGCATTGCCCCTTTTCTGCTCACTAACCTTGAAATAAGCTTGCATCCAGCCCAGGCAAGCTTTTCCAGGCCTAGCCGAATCCATCCCGCCCACCTGCATCGTGTCCCTCCAGCGACTGACGATGGCATTGAGAAACAGGGTCGTTCGGCTGCTCCTCTGGCTGGGCGCCGCCTTCTTCTCGTTGCAGCTGGTCACGTATCTGTACCATGGCACCTCCGCGCCCTTCTGGGGGCGAACCGAGACGGCAACAGCCATCAGTGGCGTACAGCCGAGCCCAGATGCCGAAAAGGCAGAGATGATCGTGTCGGCTTTCCAGTTCTCGTGGAGCAGATATTCACGATACGCGTTTCCCCACGACACCCTACTACCACTCAATCTGGCATTCGAAGATGACCGGTAAGCATCACCTACGGGAAACCCAGCCTATTCATGCGATTTGATTCAATCCAATTGATCTCGGCTGACACGGAAGCATCGGCATAGAAATGGGTGGGGCGCAACAGCTGTCGACGCGTTGAGCACTGCCATCATCATGGAACAGGGCGAGATTGTGGATAAGATCCTCAAGCAGATTGCTATCACTGATTTCACCCGAACGGCTGTGGATGACCAGCCCATCTCGTTATTCGAAACCACCATTCGCTACCTTGGAGGCTTGCTTTCTGGTAATTATCCCTATCGAGGCATTGAAACATCCATCGCTGACAAACACATGCAGGCTACGATCTACTCTCTGGCCCATTTAGCAGCCTCGTTCAAGACCCAAAACTGGTGGGCAAATTGCTAGAACAAGCAATATCTCTTGCAGATAGCTTAAGCATCGCCTTCGAAACACCGAGCGGTGTTCCGGATGACGAAGTCATCTTCAACCCTAAGCGGAGACGCTTTGGTAACCATGATAACTCCATCACCTGCATCGGCACTCTCGTCCTTGAATGGACTCGCCTAAGTGATCTCACCGGCAACCCGACCTACGCAAATCTTGCCCAGAAAGCCCAGGCTCATCTTCTGAGCCCTAAACCCGATACGGGTTTCAAACTGCCTGGTCTCGTGGGCACGTACGTCCGCCTCAACAATGGCGAATTCGGAGACTACCAGGCTGGCTGGGGCGGTGGCTCCGACAGCTACTACGAGTATCTCATCAAGATGTATGCGTACGATCCTATTGCCTTTGCTAGTTACAAGGACAGCTGGGTTCAAGCCGCCGAATCGTCAATGCGTTATTTGGCATCCCATCCCACGTCCCGTACTGACCTCACCTTCCTCGGCGAGTTTCGTGGGAATTCGACTGTGCCAATGTCCAGTCACTGTAAGTTCCATTCTCAACAATCTACCCTCGCAATCGACTCTTCAGATTACTAAAGTATAGCGAAATAGTGGCCAGCGTCTGTGGAGGCTCCTTCATTCTCGGCGGTCTCCTTCTCCAAAACCAGACCTTCGTCGACTTTGGCCTCGAACTCTCCAAATCATACTACGAGGTCTACCGTCAAAGCCCAACCGGAATCGGCCCAGAGGAGTTCCGGTGGGTCGACGACCACCAGGAACTGACCAAAGAGGCTACCAACCACCCAGCCCCGGAGAAGTGGGCGAACTTCTACGAGGATAGCGGTTACTGGCCCACGAATGCCGAGTATATCCTCAGACCAGAGACGATTGAAAGTATTTACTATGCGTACCGCGCGACCGGCAATCGGAAATGGCAACAGTTGGCATGGGAGGCGTGGGGAGCACTGGACAAGATCACTTGGGTCGAAGGAGGCCATTCAGGGTTGCATAATGTGATGCTGTCAGCCGAGGATGGAAAGCGGATTGATAAGATGGAGAGTTTCTGGATGGCAGAGACGCTGAAGTATTTCTACCTAATTTTCTCGGAGGAGACCGACTATCAGGTGAAGAGGGATGGGAAGATGAAGTATGTGCTCAGCACTGAGGCACATCCATTGCGGGTCCGGGGTTAAGCAATGCCTCAAAATGGACGAGGGGGGGGATGATTAGAAAGCGTCCACCTACCAAGTACCGCTCTTTCAGATGAGCCCAAATAATCCAGCAAGCGCGGCCAGGTGATGACGGGAAACCAGCGCATTCTGCTAACTTCTATCACGCCACGACGCTTCGTTCCATCGGAAGGCCCGCGAGATATTCGCATAGAGGCTGATTGGGCTCTGAGAGGATAAGCCACTCGAGTTCCATCAGCCAGCGGTCAATATGACCTTGACCATGCTTCTTTGGGGATCAGATAGATGTCCAATCATAGGAGGTACGTTGGGTGGGTCGAGGCGGTACACGCGCAGCCTCTCGGTGGCATATGTATAGATACTTCCGTTGGCTGTGCTATGGAGTGTTGAAAAAGTAGTCACTTCTCAGGATGACTACCTAGAGAATGTGATCAAGCACATTAGTATGCTCCTCGGTTGTATGAGTTCAGGCGAGATTTGGACTAGGATAACAATTGACATAACTAACACTTCTGCTACTCCCCGAGCTGAATAAATCGCTTCATCTTGCGACAGGGTGCGATTGATGGGGTGAATCAGTCAAGTTTCGCGTACAATTGGCAAAATACCAGCCCTCTCCAATTCAGTGCAGTCAGTTGTGACCTGTCTCTCTTGTGTGGAGACATTTGTTGCGTTGGGCACCATCTCGAGATGCGGGTACCCTAGACACAAGGACATCCCGGCGCAGATACAAGATCCAAGCAACGTCAAGCCACCAAATCATCTTGATGTGACATCCCCCGATCTCTTGCATGATGATCCTATCACCTTTCAATAATACCCAATCAAGCATGGGGTTTAGACGCAGAGTGAGACCTCAGACTTGGCCAACGTCTAAAGGCCTATTAGCATAAAGCTCCCTAGGTCTCCTTCCTCTTATGCCTCGTAAAGTCTTCCAACTTCTCTTCCAACTCAGATTTACGATCATTTCCAGCCCAATATCGTACTTTCCTAACCCAACCTCTTCTTTTAATTTCCAAAATGCCACAGAAGAAGAAAACATATCCCAGCTGGTCCATGTTCCCAGAACATCACGACTCAGTATCCGATGAACTCGCCAAATCCGGGCTCCTCTTCTCATTCAACGAAGACGACGATGAAGACTCTTGCAGTCAAGATTACGACACGAACATCATGGGTCGGTTCAGATGCCACAGAGGTAACTGCAAGACACAAGGGTGGTCAAGCAAGCGAATCGCCATCACGATCCGAAGATACCACCCCGCCAGCTACAACGTCCGAGTGTATCACCAGCGATGCAAGAGCTGCAACAGTCTGAGCCGACCGGATCTCGACGTACAATCCTACGTGGATAGGATCACATATCGGCTCAAGAAGTGGAACGGACTTCAGGTTGAGACGCCAGTTTACTTTGGAGAATCTAACGCCCCGCACGAGGAGGATTTGTGTGAGGGCTGCAAGATGGGACACTGTACCCAGTCGGGCGGGAGGGTTGTCACTTTCCCCGATTACTGGTAGCTGATGAGCTTGGAATACTCGGCTGGCAGATTTATCAAGTTATGTAGAGATTTGTGGCTTTAAACCCGAGTAATATATGATGTCTATCAACTGTTTTCTCCAAGCTCTAAATCTTGAGCAAGCAATGTATTAGCGACGTAGTGAACATGTCTAGTTTCTTGCCATACGACTACGATTATCTTGAGAACAAGAGCGGTGTAGTTCATTCTCGGAAATTGACCGTAGGTACAACGACCAACAGTGTCTGAGCAGGAAAGAAAGGGGGGCGGGGGCCGACTTTGTCATAATTTGATGGCATATCCAATCAGATAGCGGGCTCACATCAACTTGGATGGCCTCCTGCATATATCGATACACGAGCTGAGACATATGAGCTGAGAAAACAGTACCTAATAATCTTAAGGGGTCATTGAAAGACGTATTTGCTTGGTCACGTCGACTAAGGATGAACGAGCAGATTTGATACGATCATCGGCGTCTCGGCGGGGAGATCGCATACATCCAAGGGCTGAAGGGGATGCCGCACGGCAAGAGTTGTCTTCGCTTCTCGGCATCCTTAGCTCAGGATGGTCTAGGGCCCCAGGAGAAGATCCAGCGCCCACTATTATTTAGGCCTAGTAAAGGGAATACATTGCTGAGGCCGAGAGCTCCCTCTCATTATGGGAGGGGTTCCCTCCCATCGTAGAATTGCAGTCCTAAGAGATGTTGTATCTTCCGATTTTAGTGGGCCGTTCTTGTGTGAAAGAATTTTCACAGTGAAGCCGTTTAAAGTGGCGTGAGGCTTTGATGCCACACTTTCGACAGAAGTCAATTTCGATTCAGACAACCTGATGGTCTAGCCCGCGCACAATGACTCGTAATGGACGTAATGGAAGCGTCATCCAGGGGGAAGGGACGTGCAGGTTTAGGATGTGAGTTTGCAACGCGGACTAAATGCTATGACCTGAGTTATTATGAGTTAGCCTCTTAATCACTTAGACATTAAATCAATCATGCTTTTAAACGCCACAGGGCAAGATGGCGCCCTGTGGTCCATTTCCCCAGATACCAAGAGGGTCGTGTGCGGCTCCACTGGGCACTAAGACGACTTGGCTCGAGGGTGCTAACGCCTTTATCTTTTACGATGTTTCGCTAGATCCGGCGGGAGCCGATAGATAGCAGCATTAATCAGTAGATCCCGGCTGCCTCGAGACCATTTTAAGTTGAAGCTGACCGGTTTGAACCGGTTCAACCGGGCGAAGCTATCACCAGTGCCGGTCACCTACCCATTTCTCCCACATCCCTTCTTTGATAGATGATTCAGCTCTCAGCTAGATGCCCATCTGGCTGAAATTGGACACCAGATTTGGATGATAAGCTTCTGATTCGGGCAACACTAATATTGAATAGGTTATTGTTTCTCGTAGAATGATAATAGCAGTTGATAGTGGCAAGTCACATCTGCTGATGTTGGTATCTAGGACCTACCAAGTGACGCCATCCTGATCTTAATTGGGGATTACACAATATCTTCACCCCAATGTGGATACAGAAGACCACATTTCTCTACGATTAATTAACGTTGACAAATAGTTTCATCATCATCAACCGCTGATAGCCGACCACAGGGTAGGCAGACTTGACCGGGGAAGAGATTCCAATAGTTTGGATTCTCGCAGATAAGAGTGGCGAGAAAGGTAGCAGGAAAAAATCCATTCCATACTTTAAAGTTTGTCGATCGCGGTGATCTAACTCTTCGCACTCTTTCGTAGCATTGCCTGTGGTTGTGCTCGTGGCTGCCTCTCGTGGGTAGTAGTGCAGCAAGTCTACAGGCCAAGAAGGGAGCCAAGACGGCTGGGGTTCGGGGACGGCTTGTTTCGCCCTGCCAAGCTGATTCATCCTGATCCAAAAGCTGGTCCCGAAGGATGCCAAGCTGGGGACCGAGGCTGGCGTGATACCGGGGCCATCTGATGAACGGGCGAATCAACGGCTGCCTCGATGACTGATCTGGGGGGAAGGCCGCCCGGTCTTCTAGAATGTTGCCTGCGCTAGACTAGAAACCCTCGAGGGCTAGACTGGAAAGCCTCAAGCGTGAGATAGGCCGGATACACGGCACTGTCGAAAGCGCAGGCACAACGTAAGAGATACTGGCGGCGGGTCGCGCAACGTCTCAGTGTGGGTTCGACGGGCGTTCTGGACCGCGTGTATTGGGCAAAAGGTCGTTTGCTGGCTCTGCTCATTTGGATCAGAAGGGCCGAATGAGGAAGCTGGTCACTGGCGATGATTTGCATTCGCCCACCTGTCGCTCTGCCGCCCATCCGCCTGGATCACGAGGAGCTTCATTCGCGGGGACCGTGGATCCTTTACCTAATAGTCTTCGTTCTGCTGTGAGGGGATTCAGTCGAGATTCAAAAGCACAGGTAATGGATATGGGGTAATGGATCGAACCCCATACACTCTATCGATGAAGTGATTCTGTTTGTCATACCCGTTGGGCAAACCTGGGGAAAGGTGGCGATGCCTCCTCCTCGAGCTGGAGGGATGCAAATCTCACCTCAAGCAGCATTAGAGGATCGGATATCGCGCCAGATTGAGCCTCACAGGCAGGGAGCCGCACCCGGCATCCATGGCCACGATAAACTTTTTCTGCGATCGTTCGAAAGAACCTTCGCTCATGCCGGAGCTAATGTACGCGACGCTACTGTACACTGATAAGGAGGCAACGCTCCCTCGCGCCAGACCAGGAGGCAGCCAATCCAGAGATATGGCAAGATAGCGCGGGCGAGCGGCACCGGCTGGAGAGGCGAGGGACAGCGCAACAGCCTATCACCTCGCCCGAGTAGATGGCTTCGGTCATCAAGACGCCTGTCTCAGACTGCTCTAGTGCTCCGCCGCCCGGGGGTCCACGCCTCCTTGGGAATAGTTCCAGGCTGTCGCTCGCGGGCCCCCGAAGGTATCGTGCCATCGATCATTTCGTGTGGGTGAGGCCTCGAACCGCCCCTCACCCCCCCAGCTCTAGTCCTGCCGGGGCGAGGCTGGAGCTGATAGCACTAGGACATTATCTCTAGGCTGTCTCAGACAAGAGAGGAGGGTAAGCACGCAGGCCAAAGGTAAATCGAGGCATCTTGGAGCTAGAGGAGCCAGGTATATATTCATCTGTGCGTCTCCCATCCAGTCGGTTCTTCTCTCGATATCCTCATCCATCACTTGAGCTTGTTTCCTTCTTTCTTTATACCCCCTACCAATCCTCCTCCACAACAAGGGGATCAACCTCTTCGCCAAGATGGCTTCCCAAGCGCCAGTCAACGGCAGCTCCAGCGACATTGAGAAGGATGCTGCCGTTGTGACCAAGGTCGATGAGACCCAAGGCAACAGCGAGCCTACCACTGGAGGTGTCCTCCAGCGCGACCTCAAGAACAGACACATGCAGATGATTGCCATCGGTACGTTCCAAGACACCTACTTCTTTGATTCAAGGAAGCTCACTGACATATTCTCCTAGGTGGTGCTATCGGTGCTGGTCTCTTCGTCGGTTCCGGTGGTGCTCTTCACAAGGGTGGTCCCGCCTCCCTCGTCATCGGCTACACCATCATCGGTGCCATGTTGCTCATGGTGACCTACGCCCTTGCCGAAATGGCTGTCCTCTACCCCGTCAACGGTGCCTTCTACACATACTTCGTCCGCTTCGTCGATCCTTCGTGGGGTTTCGCCATGGGCTGGCAGTACGCCATCGCCTGGCTCACAGTCCTCCCCTTCGAGCTGATTGCCGCCTCTCTGACGATCGAATTCTGGCGTGACGATATCAACATGGGTGTCTGGGTTGGCGTGTTCATGGCTGCGCTCATCATCGTCCAGCTCTTTGGTGTCCGCGGATACGGTGAAGTAGAGTTCGTCCTCTCCCTCATCAAGATCCTCGCCTGCATTGGCTTCATGATCCTCGGTATCGTCATCAACTGCGGCGGCGCCGGCGACAAGGGCTACATCGGCGGCAAGTACTGGGTCGAGCCTGGCGCTTTCCGCAACGGCTTCACTGGATTCTGCTCCGTCTTCGTCGTTGCCGCCTTCGCCTTCGGTGGTACTGAGATGGTTGGTCTCGCCGCTGCTGAGTCTGCCACTCCCCGCAAGTCCATCCCCCAGGCTAGCAAGCAGGTCTTCTTCCGAATTGCCCTGTTCTACATCATCAACCTCTTCATCCTCGGCCTCATCCTCCCCTCTGACGACACCCGTCTGCTGGGCTCCAGCGGTGCCAACACCAAGGCCTCCCCCTTCGTCCTTGCCATCCAGGACGCTGGCATCAAGGTCCTCCCCTCCATCTTCAACGCCGTCATCACCATCTCCGTCCTCAGTGTCGCCAACTCCTGCACCTTCGGATCTACCCGCACCATGCAGGCCATGGCCCAGCGCGGTATGGCCCCCAGGTTCCTCGCCTACGTCGACTCCAAGGGTCGTCCCCTCTGGTGCATTCTCATCCAGCTCGCATTCGGTCTCCTGGCCTTCATTGGCGAGTCCGGCAAGAGCGGTGATGTCTTCGGCTGGCTCTTGGCTCTCACTGGTCTCGCCTACCTGCTGGTCTGGGGAACCGTCTGCCTGGCCCATATTCGCATGCGCGCTGCCTTCAAGGTCCAGGGCATCTCTACCGAGCTCATTCCCTTCAAGAGCCCCTACGGTGTTATTGGAAGCTACATCGGTATCTTCCTCTCCGTCATTGCCCTCATGGCCACCTTCTACAACGCTCTCTACGTAAGTTACCCCCCAGATCTACATAAAGAAAACACAAAGCTAACAGTTGTTATAGCCTACTCTTGGAGCCACCCCCAACGCCCAGGATTTCTTCCAGGCCTACCTGGCCGCGCCCGTCACCGTCGTTCTGTACCTGGGCTGGAAGATCGGCACCCGCGACTGGCGCATGTACGTGCCCTTGGACCAAATGGACCTCCAGACTGGTCTGAACCTACTTGACGAGCCCGAGCCCGTGGAGAAGAAGACCTGGGCCTCGTTGCCGAGACGTTTCCTTGGTGCTTTCATCTAGAGCGATTTGCATGGAGTTGGAAGGCTAGATATATACTTATTTCTGGTTAATTATGGGGTTTGATGAATGAAATAATACCCGAGTTCATTTCAATGATATCTGATATAAACACACTTGATCGCACGTGAAACATGTCTGCTGGCCTAGCATCGCCGACGCCCCTCATTCTTGCCGAGTTTCTAAAAAAGTATCACCACCCCATCGCTAGCAGTGGAATCGCCCCTTCATTCATCAACTGACTCGGGCCCTTGGAGTGTTAACTCACACAATGAGTCATCTCTTTAGTGCCCCCAAGTCTACAGCAAGTAACTTACCGATTCATTGCGTTTGAGATGTCAGGTCTGGCATCTTCTATTGTTGTTTAACTTTCTAATAGAACTCTCTTCCGTAAGTCGCTTACCAGGAATCGATTGGCTGGAGCAACACCGGCTAAGAAGTACTTTACTCTTTGCCTGGATTTTACGGATTATTCATCAGTACTTTCCTATGATCAACTTTGCCACCAGGTATCTTTTCACCTAACATCCGATGTCCAAAAGCCTTTCCAGCTATCTTTGAGGATACTCTGTACAGCATAAATAAATGTATAAAATATCCTGTAGTCTCGAGGGCACCAAGGAGTTGATTCCCATAGATGGCCTGAATCAGTGGTGTGAATCCCTTGCCATCCTGAGCGTCGATCTCGGCGTCAGGTTCATTGAGCAGGGCCTGCCAAATGGCTTGGATTGAAATTTCATCTGGGCTTTTACAGTTTCGTAAGCCACAGATAGAATGACGCCCGCCCTGGGAGCCAGCAAGCTACTTCATCCTGGGCGAGAGTTTAGGGTTCTCAAGCTATCGCCCGAGTTTCAAGCACGAGTAAAGCTTGCTATCGTCAAAGTTCCAACTCTCAAATGTTCTTTACGCCGTCGGGAGTCTTCTACTCGCATGGCTCCATTGGTGAACTCTCCGTCGTCTATATAACGCCGCCCTTTCCTCTGGCCAAGAAGAAATCATTTTCATCCACACAACCCAAAAACAATCAATTGATATCTACACCGCACCCATCCCTGACGCAAGTCTTCGCTCGTTAGTCTTACTCCTCTACCAAGATCATCGGTATTGGACTTCACCCATCTCGAATTCAGGCCTTGACGGTTCTGATATCCCTACCAGTATCACCACTGCCATCACTCCCATCTCAAGAATTCCTCGCATCACGCGGCAATAATAGCCTTTATTTGCTCCTTCTGAAATATTTCACAAGTTCACGACTTTTTTGGCAAGGACCAAGGCCCTTGCTCGTGATCGCGACAAGAAACCTCGTGTGGACTTGTACCTCCTCCTTTTCTTCTTACCTGCCTCCGTCTTATCCAAAATGACTTTCATATCAAAGGCCACCACCTCTGCTGTCAATTACGGCTTGCCTAATGCAGTTTCTCCCGAGGCTCGCCGCAAATCGGCTAATCCCCGCCGTGGAGCTTGCAAAGACCCTCAGATGCTCGATGGGACTTCTCTTGCCATCTCTGACCTTCATAACTCAATGTCAAGGTTAGTCTTGACCTCCATTCAAGTTTTGAAAAATTGAGAACGCTACTAACACCTCAAAAAGCTTGTTCAAGAGTGGTGTGTACTCAGACCTGACCGTCATTTGCGGGCGGGATAAGTACCCGGTCCATCGAGCTGTCGTCTGCCCACGGTCTAAGTTCTTCGAGGCGGCATGTCGCCACAATTTCAAGGTATGCTTCTCCCGCTACGTCATGTAATTTTCCAAAGTAGAGATAGGGCTATTACTAATCACCATATAGGAGGCGGTCACCGCTGAAATCAACCTTGCTGAAGACGATCCCATCGCGGTTAAGATCATGATGAATCATTTCTACAACCTCAACTACTCAGACGGCTCTACGACTACTTCAGAGACTGGCTCGACTCTCCCAGGAGACAAAAAATTCTTGCTTCTTGACCACGCCAAGGTCTACTCTCTGGCCGAAAAGTACGGCGTCCCCAGCCTGAAGAAACTGGCTGTCGATAAATTTGAGCGACAGGCAAGGAAAGACTGCGATGGCGAGGATCTCGTGGACGCAGCGGTAGAAGCGTACACCGGCACTGTTCCGAAAGATCGTGGGTTCAGGGATGAGGTGGTCAGAGCCATGACTAACCATATGGATGTTCTGACTCATGAGCCATTTCGAGAGGCTATGAACGGTCTGGACATCGGGGTTGACGTGGTCTTGTATCTGCAACAACAGGGGAGGATCCTCAACACTGATCCCCGCAATCGCTGGTGAACTAGCAGTGGTCTTGAGGTCGAAGTTATTTCAATATTGAGGTTGGACTTGAGACTTGCGGTATGTGGTAAGAATCTGCGGATGTATCTTATTAATGGCCAGTGCCAGAGAATGTTATTTCTTCTCGATTTGATTTGCTCCGCGCTAGGTATGGTAGACTGTTTGTGATTTATCAAGAGAGAGAATAGAACTGTATTCTAGTTAGTTATGGTTTAGAAGGGTAACACAAGATCTATTGTTTCAACACCATTTTTCGTTCTGATACTGTATGCTCCTTCTCCTTGCCTTTATACTATTTTGTAAGCCTTTGATGCATCGTTATTGAAAGAAATCACATCAGCCCACCTGTACCAACGATCATGTAGGCGGCATATTGGCTAGCTATTCCTCATTACTAGGGTAGCGGATATTTGATACGCATTCCTTCCCTTGGTCGCTAGACGAACTCTCACCTTCGGAGTGACCAGAACTATTGAAAATTTCTGCCCTGTTCTCATCACGCATACCCATAAGAGGAAGCCTTAGCGTGGCTCAAACCGTGAGATGGATTCCGCGCCTAGCAAGGGCCTTGAAGGCGATTGGGCTCAGGTTGGGTACCAAGAAGAAGAGGGGTTGTACGATACTGGCTACAAGCGATTGGCTTGATATTTGGAAAAATCAACGCCTCTGAATATAATGTGTTCAGCGGAGACCATACTACCACGTGCCCATGTACAGCTTAAGGCCGTGGCTAATACTGACTCTCCCGTCGTCGAGATGGATGGCTCGGGGTATCAATGATTTCTTCCACCGGTTTTGCTTCTTCCTAATCTTGGCATTGCGAATTTCTGTCTGCAGTAGACCAAAATAAACGGGCTAGTTGACGAGAAAATGACGGACCGAGTCGGCAGGGGGTGGGTATATTGCGGACGTAGCTATCGACTGACATCTCTCAAGTACTTCTGGGCCTGAGGCTACCACCAGTTCCAAATTTTGGAACTTGGATGTTCGAAACCAGACAGCCTCAGTAGGGTTCCCCTCCTCGCCTAACAGCTGCCAGGCTCAAGAACGGCATAGCTAAGTGCCAACACACTTCGCATGTGAGACCAAGAATGTCCTAGTCTACATTTACTTCACCTGGTTAGCTGAAAGGATTTAGAGATGTGGCTCGCAATTGGTTCAGACACACTTCTCGGATCGGATGAGCTGCAGTCAGCTATGTAAGTGGCTTGATCACAATCAAATCTGCTCCAGACAGCCCAGGGGAAACCGCCTAGTCAAACTTTAGGGCAAACATCGTACTCAAAGCTCATCCGTAATGCCAGAGCAAGGTCGCTACCCTTGTGGTCAGATCAGGCTAGTTGACGGCCCCACGCTCGTTCTGGTAGTTGGCTTTCATTAATGACGCAAATTGCCACGAACAGCTCTGTGGTTGTACATCCAGCTACGCAATGGAGCTTCGAAATGGGTGATGGAATAAACCATATTCACAAGGTACCTCTGTCCAAATAGCTTTTGAGCCTGAGTGCAGTGTTCAAGCCTCAAGCTCAACCAACAGCTTAAGCAGCTCGCAGAAGTAGGAAGTGTCATAATTGTTGAACATGCTGGGGCCCATTGGAGGCTGCCGAAAGTGCCGCTGCAGGTTTCTCAATGAAGCTAATGCAATTACTGTCATGCATTCACGAGCTGAGAAAGCCAAGACTTTGTTCATATGCCAAGCCGGAGTGAGAGAGCGAGATATTTGCCTCACAAGCGAGATCATCCTTGCGATTTCCAGATTGAGCTGGTGAAAACAGGCCTCGGATCAGATAATTTCTTATCAGATCATCTGATAACTCTACATCTGCTAGTGGCATCGCCAATGATGCACCTGCCCTGGTTGGTACGAAAACAGGGGAATTAGTCCATTGAAAATTGGGAACCTTGCCCTCTCTACGTCTTAGTGGGTCAAGCTGAAAACCTCGGCAGCGATGGTAGAGACAGTGAATAGCATCGAAAAGGATTCTAAGAACGTGAATATAAATCACAGCTTCATCCCTCTCTCCATCGTGCTGTTTGTTCATCAACACTCTCTTCAACTCCAAGCATTCTACAAGTATCACTTCTGAGAAAGTTCCCCGGCAACTCAAATCCCACCTCTCCCCATCATGAAGACCTTCGCCATTCTCAGCAGCACACTAATGCTGGCCACCGCAGTTTCCTCCCAGACACTCTGTGCAGTGCGTTCAATTTCCAGTCCCACAACCATGTGCAAAGATCAACCCTAACCCTCCTGGTCATAGATTAACTGCTTCACAACCGTCTACAACCAGCACCCTCCCACTACCTGCACACTGCCTTCCATGTATGACTGCTTCTGTGCCTCCCCAGAGCTCCAGGGTTACTTCATCCAGTGCGCCCGAAGCACCTGTGGTAGCAACGCCGATGCCGCCATCCAGTTTGGCGTTGATTTGTGCAAGGGTAAGGCCCTATCGCTTTATTTTCACAACGCTCAGTTGACTGATCATGTCTCTTAGATTACGGATACACTGTCACCGTTCCTCCCGCTGCTGCTGCCACAGGCAACTAAAACCTGACAGCATTATCATACCTGGAGATGGATTCACGCCTCTTCCATTGAGCGAAAGGTATATTACCCCGCGTTTTCTAGGATAGACACATAGCAATAAGAAAAAAAATTCAAGACAGAGTAGAAAGACTTAAATCAGATGTGACCAATGTTGAATCGGAGATTTATCCTTGTTCACCGATTCTGAAGCCTCT